CAGTGTGAAGAAGGGTTTTCTTTTATTTATTAAAACATGCTACAGGCAAGTGCGTTTCTCAGAATAACAATCTAACATCTATCTTTACAGTTACAGTGTAACCAGATATGGGTGTCCTTACCTCGTAGAAAAATACATGATCAAACTGCTGTCTCTTTATTTAACATATCAAATGTGACCTGAGATATAAACTGCAACACTGGGTGGAACTGATACGGCAAAGAGCCCGAGAGCAAATCTGGGCCCCAGAGCTAAAATTAACCTGTCAAGATTTAACTTTTAACCTTTTTTCTTTTAAGCCAACATGAATGAGAAGTGCTCAGGGAAATAAAATGGAAAATTTCAACAAATTACACTCCCATGACAACTGGAAAGCTGAGGAAGATCATGTGATGTGATTATAAACACTATAACAGCTACAAAATGGACGTTGTTTTGAGATTAGATTCCCTAAACTGCTGTGTCGAAGGTCAAGAAATGAACCACGAACCTCACCGACGGATATGTTTTCAGGATACACCCTCCGCTACCTCTCTGTCATGACAAACCGGTTTATTTCTAGTAGGCTCTAATGTTTCCAGCTGTCATACGGGGAAAGACCTTGTTGTTGTGTGGATTGTTATTAACATGAGATGTCAAATCCTTAATGTGTGTCAAGTGATTAGGCACCTTTGGATTAGATCAGATTGCAGAGCTGGATTAGATTTCAAATCTTACTAAAAGCATAACCCGGTGCGTACAATCTCTGCGCTTCGAAGGGCTTCTCCTCAGTTAAGGTCATTTTATGAAGGACGTGATGGAAAACGGAGCACCGACGCGTAGGAATAACATAAACTCCACTTCTATCACTGACAGCTTAAATACATTGTTGTATTTATGTGTGCTACGCTTTCTCTTTGATAAAACTGTGTGCTTTCACTTTCTGCAGCATGATCTAATCCTTCTACACACAGACACACACGAGGCATTTTCTTTCTGTTTTCAGGGAGAAAGAGAAAATGTTTGAGCCACATCTCTTCTTTCTTTCACTGACTGGGGAACCGAACTGATCTGAATGAGCACCTCTGTACCGAGTACTGCAACAGCCCAGCATTGACCCAACTTTGTGCATTAAAGCTCGTTTCCACCAAGCATTCCAGTCCAGTTCAGGTCGTTTCGGTTCATTATACATTTGAGTAGTTAATTTTGGGTTTCCATTGTCAAAAGTCGTGGATGATACCATAGGCCATTTTTCACACAGAGAGAACAGCCAGAACTGTCTTCGCTCTGCTGTGGAGTTTCCCACACTCTCCTGTTTTTTTTCAGCACTCTTTTGTCTTGCTGCCTGCTGCCTTTTTTCCCCCCAAACAAAGCTTGTGTCCTTGTTGTGATAAACAACTACCTATGGTGTGTGTGTGTGTGTAGTGAGACACAGAGAGAGGAGCGAGTGAGAGGCAGAAAAGTGACGGTGAACGCGAGCGGAACAGAGGACAAGGATAGCTGTAAGTTGTCAATCTGGCAGTGAATGTACAGTGTAGGTTACAGTGTGGAGGTTAATAAAAGTCTGTCTGTTTGCCAACTGCTGGAAAAGTGAACGGGGGTCGGCCCAAACGCCCAGTAACAGCTGTGCCCACATTTTAGAAGACTGTCTAACAGATCCAGGGTTTAGGTACGGGTTGAAAGGGTACAATACCGAAGGTGTTTGGTGGTAGCGCCGCTTTAGTTTATTCCTAAAACCAGAAAAGTACTCCTGAATGGGCCAAACACAAACCCCCCATTTTAACATCTTGCTTGTTGCTATGGTTACACATCTAAGCATTTGCTCTCTACTGTTTTTTTTCCATCATGACAAAATAAAACACTTGAAGTGGCAGTGTCTGGTCTGCAACATCATCTAGGGAACTGATCATCAAATAATACCCTTAAAATGAGATTATTTTTCATCAAATGTGGATGGCAAGATATTAATTTAATATCTAATATAATAAAGTGATGTTTATTTATTTTTACTAGTTCAGTTATGAACAGATATTTGTATAGAGCTGAAACAAATAATTTACCACTAATGAATCTGCATCTATTTTAAAGATCAATTAATAGTGTAAGTCATTTTTTAAGGAAATATAATAAATATTTGTTGGTTCTGGCTTCTTAAATGTAAGAATCTGTTGCTTCTCTCTGTCTCTCATTATAGTAAATTATTGGGGTAACCTGTCAGCAATCCCTCCTGGTCCACGTTTCAGTGTATTCAAATCCACCCAGACACTAAGTGGAGCCAAAACTTTGGCAATAAAGAAAACCATCAAACATGAGAGCTACCCACCGGCTTGCTGGGGTACACGTTGGAGATGTGACTCTTCAGCCTCTCCACGGTCCAGTTGAGGAAGCAGTTAATGGTCTGGTCTTCAAACTTCTGGTTGGGGGCCTTAATGACCAGGGTTACAGGACTATCAGGTGCCCCAGAGTCCATGGCTCATATTACTAGCAGGCTGGGCTCTGAAGAATCTGAGCTCAGGAGAGCTTTCGTGTCACAACTCAGGACTCACCTGAGGAGAAAGTTCACCTCAAATTCTCTCCATTCTGGGCTCAGCAACACACCTAAAACAGTTCCTGCTGTGGGTCGGGGGTGCGTGGCTCCCCCCTCTAAAACATTTGCCTCATGTTTGGGGGAATTTTGAGTGGAGTCCAACTTTATCGATGGAAATTCTTCTGCGGGGACGGTTTGGGGTTTTCTGTTGAAGAGAGAGGAAGAGTCTGAGTGTCTTCGCTGGAGTGGACACCGTAGAGGATGGCAGATTTTAAAATCACAGAATAAAATCATCACATTAAATCATATTATATCTGTATAGCATTGCTATGTATATACATTTCCTTTCATGGTTTTACTCTCACATTGAAATGATAAACAAGCACACACTTACAGACAGGCTTTAGTTTGTGGTGCTGTTAAATTGTACTGCATTACACTGAGAGGTGTTTCTAATATTCTGTCCATCCTATTTATACCAGTAAGACTAAATATTAGAGCCATTTCTCAGTATAACATATTACCCTTCAACAGTGTAATCACACAGTGTGATCACGTTGAATCACAACCTCTGTAAAACTAATTATAACCTTCCTGGAGGTAGAATTGAACGCAGGGCTGTTGTTTTAAAGGGTTTTAATTTTAGCAAGGTGTAGCAACTAAACTGTGTTAACGTGTAAACTGAGACCTTGTATCCAGTAAACTAACCTGACAGTGATAAATGATCAACATCTGGCTCTTGGCCGGTGTTCTGATACTCTAGATATACGAGTTTGGCCAGTTAAAGCTACAGGACATGGTGATTTCAGAAGGTGATGTTTTATATTATAGTGGGGAAAAAAAGACAGAAACCAACAGTACGTTAGTCTCAAGTCCATGTGTACCTATTACAGCCTGACCGATATGGGAAATCTGAGACTCTCAAGGGGGGGAAAGTTCACCGATGACTGTTCTAGTGGGTTTTTGGTTTTTCTGCATTATATATATCGAATAATAGCGATATAGATCAAGCTCTAGCTCCTACGTGAATCTTTAAAAATAGGTCAAGAATGTATGATTTCATTTTTAAAACAAGATAAACGGGGATACTAAAACAGCTCAGTCCTGTAGACTTTAACATACATTACACAAACAGGAGTAAGTCATACATTTGTTAGGGACTATTTAGTGCCCCGGTGTGAGTCCTTTATGTGTTTAAAGTGGTCTTTGTGGACTAAAATGAAGCTAAAATACCAGAGAGGAATAAGCTACAGAATATAAGGCACTGTCCTCACACGCTGTATTGACAATAGGAGAAATTAACTTCTGGTTTTAGTCTTTAAATGGGACTTATTGACCATAAAATACTATATATTAATACATATAGTATAACCTCGCAGGGGAGCGCATCCATACAGAATATATAAAGCCAACAATAACCATGAACTTCTGTATTTCAGAGGAGGGGGAAACACAGAAAGAGGCACTGAGTCGGGGGGGTCACTTCCTGACACCTGCCATGTCGCGCCATCTTTACAGTAAACTGTGAAAACAACCAACAAACTGTAACCCACCCCGAGTCCAGACACACCATGTGATTAACGGACAACTCAGCTCAAAAGCACCGTGTTTTATACCAGCACAAACCACAAGGCCTAACAAACGCGACACTGTGCCCTATAAAGGCAGGGTTAACGCCGAGCAGCAGCAGCCGCTTTATGTTTTATCACGAAGCCAGTTAGCTCGTCGGCTAACGTTAGCTCTGGCGGTCGCTCTGCTAAAAAGAGCTCGGTCGCGTCCGGTCGAGCCGTTTTCCCGCGGTGACAACGCGTGAAACACGTCTGGGTAAACTCTGTGAAGAAAGCCATATGGTATCGACCCCGTGTGTACCTGTTTACTCTTGCTGTGACCGCCGTCTTCGTTCTCCCAGCTCGGCTGCGGCTGCCTTGTTGTTGTAATGTCGGGTGTGAGACCGGAAGCCACGTCATCATCCCCTTCACAACAGCTGATCGGAGAATAAATAAATAAATAAATAAATAAATAAATAAATAAATAAATAAAACGATCAGCCGGAAAGAGAGAAGACGTAGAGATTCAATCAATAAATCCTAATGGTAATAATGTTACTGTAAGTTATTTTTACAGCTAAAAGGTGGCTGTTTTTTTTTTTTAAGCGATGTGGTTGCTAGGAGACACCTAAGCACCGCTGAGTGTGACGACATGCGCATTGATTTTGTAGTTCTCTGTTATGTTTTAAGCAGGGGCGGATCTAGAAAAATATTCATACGGTTGTTTGACATCTTAAATAATAATAATAATAATAATAATAATAATAATAATAATAATAATAATAAACTTTAAATAAACAAAGGGCCTTACATGGCTGAAGCCAGGATTAAAGACATTTCAGGAGGCACTAGGCAAAAAATAAAGTCAGACAAATAAAATCATATAGACTTGAGGTAGAATAAGAAAAAAATAATAACAATAAAAAAGGTAAAAACATATTGCAAAATTTAAAGATACAAGAAGTGATTTAATGAATGACATTATTGTGGCACAGTAGTAAAGCACTGAATAGAAATATCTTTAGGTGACATTAGAAAACAATAACTTGTTAACATGTTTCCAAATATATGTCTTTTGTTCAATTAATTTAAGTCTATCACTTTACACAATGGTATTAAGACGGGAGGAAAGGTGTTACACCAATTTCTGTGACCTGAGTGGTAATTTAAGCACCTTCAGCAACTATTATTTTCCACATACTGTATTTCATCAAACTGTATTATTATTATTATTTCTTACTGTAGGCCTATTACTGCCAAAGTTGTGCCTAGGCAATCAAAAATCACAGATACAATAAACTGTGACCCTCTAGAGTCAAATGTTTTATTACAGTTATCGAAATGTGTGACTGTTTCTATAATGAAAATGTGCAACAAGCTCCAAATACCGGGGTCACATTTCTTATATATACAACAATTGCGACCTTTTATGCATCTATAGGGTCACATTTGTTATAATTATAATACAGCTAATATTCTACTTTAGGACACAGAAGAAATTTCTGCTACTGGAAAAGACAAAAAGGTGTTTTGTATTTTTTGACTACTAAATCTATGTTAAGTACAGATCCAATTATATTCAACACACAGGATTCACTGCAGATTTCCATATTCAAACTGGCCACCTTACAGCACCTTCAAGCCACACGCTCAGTTCTTTGCTTGTCTGGAGTTAAAAGGTCTTTTTGCTTCTGGTTACAGTTTTCCCAGAACCTCTTTGGTCAACTGTTTGCTGTACCGGTTGATTTTCCAGTGTCCAGGCATCCATCCGAGTAGAAAACGATGAAAATCTGTCCAGGCAAACGCAAACATCTCTCTCCACTCTTTCTCCAGGGCAGCAAAGTCCACATCTTTTTTCACAGATAGCTTTAGTTCTGTGAAATAGAAGTCCAGCAGGCCCGGGACCTTCTTTTCACACTCCCTCTCCTCCATGCAGCTTCCTAAAAAATACACCACGTCTTTCATCCCACAGCCACCACCAACATACTGAAAGTCCACAGCTGCCACTTCCTTTCCACTCTGAGAAAAACAGAAGTTTGCTAACTTGGCGTCTCCGTGGACGATGGTCTTGAAGCGGCAGTCGTTGAGTATCCGGTCGATATCTCCAGCTGCTGCTTTGAGCTCGGCGTCGTCCATGGCCTCCAGCTCGTCTGGCCGGGTCTCCAGGTGCCAGTAGGTACCGACGGGCCACAGGCCCTCTGGAGCCACGCCCAGGAAGAGAGCATGGAAGTGGGCAAGCCAGCTGAGGCAAGCCTTTATTTCTTTGTCCTTCACGCTGGTCCTGCAAAGAAAAACCAAAAACCTTATTTATCCAGCATGAAATGTCTTTATTCTTATCTTCTATATCCCTTTAATGACACTCTTGCAGTACATTGGATTGGAACTGTAAAAATAGTGTTGCTCACTTTGTGATTTTGTTTTGAGGGTGCTTCCATCTACCTCTAGTGATCTGCAAAGAAATGTTTGTCCTCATAAAATATGAAAGCCCAAGCCTAAAAATGCTTTCCTACACAGGACTGTAGCTGTTATTGAGGACACTGGGAACCTGTCCTCAGTATTGTTTTGGGAAATTTGAGTTTTAACAACCTGAAGACACAGAGAGTTTGATCATTAGAGTATCTTTAAAAGGTCTAGTCTTGTATAATATTCATAGGTATGTTTTTATTAGTTTATAATCACCTGAAAATAAGAATAGTTTAATTTTCCTTACCTTAAATTGAGCTTGTTTTACATATCTACAGAGGTCCTCTTGTTTCTACAGTAGCCTAGAACAGACAAACCAAACACTGGCTCTATAGATAGAGACATATGTATTTCTCACTTTTATTTTCTTATTTCTTATTTTTTGGACATTCACACACAATCATGTTGTGCCATGAATGAATTCCTTTCTGTTCTGTTCTAATGAGCCTTTGCTCTCAGTGTATAAATGTGCGTTAATGGGTGACTGTGGCAAGTAGTGTAAAGCGCTTTGAGTGGTCGGAAGACTAGAAAGGTGAGGTCCATTCACCATTTACAAATAATATAACTAAACACATGTGAATGAATATGAATGTTAAAAGTGATGAAATTATGTAAGTATTTAGGGCGATATATTAATATATCACATGTTAATTTTACAGGCTTTTCGGTGGCTTGTCAAAGATTTTATAGTTTGGTAGTGATGCACTGGGAGAATCTGGACCCATGACCTCAGTATTTCTAAAATCCTCTACAGGCTACAACCCTTCTGTTGCCCCAATTTTGGATGCTTTGCTGACACAAATCCTTTCAAAAACCTTTTTTCACCTACTTCAAAATGTTAAACTGCATCATTTTAATGAAAATGTAGAATTTGTCCAGTCTTTCGATGGCCTAGACTTTGCAGAGCTACAGACTACCATGTATTTCATACAAAATGCTCTGCGTTCATACCTTCTCTGATCGTAACCAACAGCATCCAGATCCTCCAGCACGATCAGCATCTCGTCTCCATGGGAACAGGCAGCCAGGCAGGCAGGAATCCGACAGCTTTGATTGGTGGAATAGTTCTGGTACCAGAGAGTCTCCACCTGGTAGGATCTCACTTTACGTGTGTGGGAGCGATCCGTGTTCCAGCCGCCAGGGTGCTCGGCCTCCTCTGGAAACTTGACGTGTTTGATGACCACGGAGGGCCGGTCGCAGCCCTCCAGGTGCAGCCTGACTATCTCTCCATAACCGCTCCACAGAGTCTGGATCTTTGCTCCAACACGCAGAGAGGAAGCACCACACGCCTGCAGGATGAGATCCTGGTACTCCTGTTTCATTTCCAGTCAGAGCTGATCCGTAAAGAGAAAGCACACTGTAGTAATCAAATATTATACAAATTCAAGGTACTTTCATTCACTTCTCTACATTTGTCTGACAGCTTTAGTTACTTTTCATATTTTTCATACCCCTCCTGTCCAGTGAATAAACAATGTATCTCCAAATTAGGTTATTTAGATTTCCAAATTGAAGGAAGAAGTGTTCCTTTATGGATTGAGGAAAAGTTCCTACTTATTAAAGTAAATAATCTGGAAAATGAATTCTCCCAAACTGAACACAGGGCTGTTTGTTTTTCTGAGCTCATTAAAGTTGGTTCTTCGAAGTTGTAGTTCTCACAAGACATATGATGATCTTGCTGAAGAGTAAACTACCTAACAGTATAAAGTAGCTAAAATGAGCTCAACCTTAAACATCTACAGAAGTAAAACACAATATCCACATTAATGCAGCAGTGATTTTAATCCAAACACATCATCACATCTTACTGCATAATGAATACTTTTGATTCAGTAATTATTGCTGATAATATTTTCCTTAAGTAAGGTCTAAATGCAGGACTTGTTGGTCTCTTACCTCACTCACAAATGATCAAGCTTGTGCACCCAGGCGTCAAAACAGGCTATATTTCTGCCTATTCCTTTTTCACACATACATTCAGAAGATGCTACTATTACATTAACAATGTAAGCCAAAATAATGTAGTAAGTATGCAACACTTACTGACTCACATAGGCCAAAACAGAATGCATATGCTTTCCTTTACGTCTCAATGGGCAGATAACAGGAAGTACTCTCTACAGCCGGCTGTGTGGTGTTTAAAGTAACAGACATGAACTAAAAGAAAAGCCAAATTAACACCTCTGCCATCTGCTGGACTGGAGTGCATCAACATACTTGGTTCACTGACTGAATTCAGTTCATCGTGCACAATCTAATGTAAACTGTTGATGAAGTCAGTCAGCAGTGGGAGCTGCAGCAGCCGTGACACACAGATCATGGAGGCAGTTAAAAGCAATGTATGTCCAAAATCACACTTCTTCCAGTCCATTGTCAACAAACATCCATAAATCATAGAAATAGATGCCACCTAAGAACTCTAGAGTTTGCCTGAGAATCATACAATGGGTACATTACAAACAGGAGTTTTTAGAAATGTAACTGACTCCATGGCATAACTTAATAACAGTGATGGGGTATTTGTTGATGCTATAGGTTGTGGTGATATTGCATTTTTTGACCCTGCATTCCTCAGAGCGGCAGAAACCAAGCAGTATAAAAACTGACACAAGTTGCAGCAAACTGGCATTAAGACAAGTGTCTTAAATGCCTCCATGAAATGTTTATCACAGGAAGAAAAGATGCCCTCCAGGTGCATTAGAATAAAGTTTGCATTTGTCTTTTACATGAAGAAAAAACATTTGCATAGATTGGTGGCTTTTATATACTGAATCTGTCAAAACAGTTTCTAATTCGAGAAACACAATAACCCCACCCTGTGATCACTCTGAGGAGATGACAATGAATCTTTGATGAGTCTTTTAAACTGTAATAATAGGAGAATGTAATTAAGAGGAATTCTTTTATTGTTTAAACATAACAAAGAAGGAAGGACCAAAGAAAGCATTGCTTCTGATGGCTCATAAAATTGCAAATGGGCTCGCCCCATCATACCTGTCTGATCTCATTGTATCTTATATCCCAGCCCATGCTGGCTACAGGCGTGGATCTCGAAAAATATTCATGGATTGGTAGAAAATATATGCTAATTTAATTGCAGTCACATATATCAATATTTGCTTGAGGGAAAAAACTCAAATGATGATATTTAAACTCAAAAACATGACATTATTGTGGCACTTCAGTAAAACATTAGAGATCGAAAGCATTGGAGTAAGAAATAAAAATAATATTTATAATAATATTTCCAAATCTTGAAATTGAAATCTTTTTCATGTAGATTTTATGAATTCAGGACAAATCCCTCATATGGAACTAAACAGCTTTGAGCAATAGATTAATTTAGGCATCTGTCTAAAGTCCAACTATTATTTTGATCTATGCCATCGTCAATGATTCCCTACAGCTTCAGGAAATACTGAATATCCCCCTGAAGTATTTCTCAAGGAAGGCCACATATTTCTTAAGGTCACTTACCTTAAATACACAACGCCTTTTCATCCAAGCTTTACATAGGTAGTATAATTTGCATCACACTGTATTAGATTGTAAAGTCGAAATGATACTGGGTTTTTTTTTAAACGTTTGAATATGTCGGGTGTCAGGATTAAGGGTTCGACTTTAGCCTGCCCTTCAAATGGATTTGCGTAGTTTGCATTTGTCCCAGAAGGATATTAAAAGGTTTACATACTGAGGAAAAACACTTTTGCATAATGTGTATGATGCACGGGACAAACAAACACTGAACCTGTTGAACTGTCACTGTACATCAACTACAAGCTACAAGTATAAGAGCACTGTACACCACAGCACTGCATTGTGATAAGTGCTGAGACTGGACGAAATCTTTGCTGCGTACAAACAGGTGCACAGTGTTATAAAACAGAAAATGGAGAACTAAATAAAGACAAGTTGGACAAGTGAGGGGGACTCTGTAGACAAATCAAGAAGTAACATTAGGTAAGTCTCTTCTACATCTGCAATCACACACAACCTTGAGATGTTAATCTGTTCATACATTTTCAAGATATTAAAGGTTACTTATTGTGATTTACAACAAAAGGTTAGAATGATTTTTAGATTTACGTCCCTTTATGCTACTTTTAAACAAAATGGGAAGAAAAGAAAGAAATTAGGGTCTCGTGTTCAAAGTAAAGTATCATTGTTTACAAACTAGTGTGTCTACAGTGTAATAAAAAGGCAAAATTAGAAAAGGAGGAATTGACAAAGCCATAAAAAAGCTAAAACAGTGGAGGAGAGAGGGTATACCCTGTCTGACACATTTTATTTTCAGTAAATATCTTTCAGTGGAACAAGTTGTCAAATTCTAGGTTAAGCAGTAGAAGGGGGACGAACCTTCGGGCTTAACTAACAATAAAAAAGTTGTAACAACAAACAATAATTTAAACGTTAAGTCAAATATAATATTCAGCTTTGTTTGTTTGGGATCTTATTGGATGAGAAAGGAAACTGGTTATTTATATATTATCATTGTTGGCACCTTCTAAAGAAATATTACAGATTTTGGAGTATATGTAAATTAATTCAGTTTTTTTCCTTATTTTGTATGGCCTTCATAAAAGCTATGGAAGGGATCACACATCTAATTCTGCTCATTTCAGGTCAGTGCTAATCCTTATACTTTGCATGAGTTTAAATTCCTGTCACATCTCACATTACAGAACCAGCCTTTTTTATTTCGGTGTCTTTTCTACAACCCTCGTTTCATTGTCTACATAACATTTCTACCAGTGAAAAGTATAACACTGTATGCTCGTCAAATGACATGTATCCCTTCTTAACCGTGACCTTTCTTTCACAGGGCTGTGTATTCTGCCCGTATGCGTCGCCCAGAACCCATACTCCTTAGTCACTACGCCTAAAACCTGGTATGAGGCACAGAGCTACTGCAGAGAGAAATGTCGTGACCTGGCCACCATAGATGACATGAGAGAGATGAAAACAGTACTTGAAACTGTAGAGGGCAAATACGATGATGCTGTATGGATAGGGCTTCACAAAGCGGAGACCAGGACGTGGCACTGGTCTCTGGCGGACAAAGATTTCTACAAGGAGGGAGAAAGAGACTATCTCCTCTGGGACGAAGAAACAGGTTTTCACTGTGGGGCTCAGCAAAAGGGGAAGCTGGATACAGCTTCCTGTCACATCAAATATTATTCAGTTTGCTTTGATGGTGAGTGTCATTCATGTCCATGCTGGTGGCACACAATGAAACGCAAGCAAGTCATTTATCTGTGCTGAACTACAAACACACACAATATATGCTAACTGATAAAGAAATGTATTGCACAGATCTAATGTCTTCTTGCACATAGAAATATTAATAGAATTACAAAAATAACCTGTGAATTTACATGTCTAATGTAAAATAACGTGAAAAGTCTGTAACATAATAAAAATACATGTATTGTTTACTTAATACCGTTAATACATTTCTAAAAATCTGTCAAATTAGTCACAATAACAATAAAAAAAAAATTTCTGTAATTTTACATGGATTTGTTTGTTAATTGACAGATTCAATTCAATTCAATTCAATTTTATTTGTATAGCGCCAATTCATAACAGAGGTTATCTCAGGACACTTTTCAAATAGAGCAGGTCTAGACCGAACTCTTTAAAACATTAATTACAGAGACCCAACAGTACCACCATGAGCAAGCACTTGGAGACAAGGGCAAGGAAAAACTGCCTGTTAAAAGGCAGAAACCTAGGACAAATCCTCCGGCTCTAGGTGGGTGGTCGTCTGTCTCGACCAGTTGGGGTGAGAGAGAGAGAGAGAGAGAGAGAGAGAGAGAGGCAGAGAGAGAGAGAGCGAGAGACAGACAGACAGGTGCACAGCAACAACAGTATTGGCAATGGCAATCTAGCAGGACCATGGCAGGAGGCTCCACCAGGATCGATAAAGCCTGCGAGACGAGAAAGCACAAGAACTCCGGGGAAGAAGTGAAGTTAGTAACATGCATTAATGGGACATGAATGAGTGCAGAAAGAGAGAGGAAGGGAGGAGCTCAGTGCACTGTGGGAAATCCCCTGATAGTCTAGGCCTATAGCAGCATAACTAAGGGATGGTTCAGGACTCACCTGATCCAGCCCTAACTATAAGCTTTATCGAAGAGGAACGTCTTAAGCCTACTTTTGAATGTGGAGAGGGTGTCTGCCTCCCGAACCACAACTGGAAGCTGGTTCCACAGGAGAGGAGCTTGGTAACTGAAGGCTCTGGCTCCTGTTCTACTTTTAGAGACTATAGGAACCACAAGTAGCCCAGCATTCAGAGAACGTAGTGTTCTAGAGGGGTAATAGGGTACTATGAGCTCTTTAAGATATGAAGGGGCCTAACCATGAAGAGCTTTATAGGTGAGGAGGAGGATTTTAAATTCTATTCTACATTTTACAGGGAGCCAGTGCAGAGAAGCTAGTACAGGAGAGATGTGATCTCTTTTTTTCTAGTTCCTGTCAGTACTCGTGCTGCAGCGTTCTGAATTAATATCTTGTATAATTATATATTATTAACAAAAACATTGTACAAATGTTTTTATCACTGTATACGTATTGGTAAACTGTCAATTTACAGTTTTATCACTGAAAACAGCAATAATTACTGCAATTTCACAGATGGTGACTTTTATTAGAGTTCTATAACTTTTAAAAAATCTAATAATAACAGCACTCTTCTGTAAATGTAAGCCTGATATTGTATTATAGCAGTGTTTGCCTGTATTTATAGGTCATTTCATTGTTTTGTAAATATCTTCAATTAAATTGTTTTACATGTGGAGCTGAACCACAATGAACCCAGTAGCCCAGAGGAGGGGCTGAGTAATTGTAAAGTAACCCAGCCAAAGCTATTTTTATTAATCCTAATCTGGCAACACTGACAATCCTCTAAATTCATCATTATGTTAATAATATCAAATGTTCAAAAATATTTAATCTACATGTGATGATGATTTTTGGAGAAGGCCATATTGTAGTGCTGCTGGGTCAGACCCTTAAGTGCAGACACATCCAAATAAATGAAATGTGAAAATGCAACATGAAACACAACTAAGATTTCTTTTTTTTTTTTAGGAAGAAATGGTCAAGATCAATTCATTTTCACTCCAGAACCTTTGAATTGGACTGATGCTCAAGACTACTGCAGAACATACCACACAGACCTGGCCAGTCTGAGGAATGACGCAGAGTATCTGAAGACAGAGAAGATAGACAATGGCTTCCGTGTGTGGGTTGGTCTCTTCAGAGACGACTGGGTGTGGTCAGACAAGACTTACTCCTCGTTGAGATACTGGCATGCAGAACACAAACTCTATAGTGAAGATCTTGAAGAATGTGGTGTTTTGCTGAAGAGCAAATCTGGTAGATGGGGAAGTCGACCATGTGCAGAAACACATCCGTTCCTTTGTAACTGCCGTGAGCAAAAGTTCTTCATTTAGATTGTTTCTGCTTTGTTTAGGCCAAAGTCTTTTCCAGTAATATATGCAGAATGTGTCTGTTATTTACATGATGCAAATGTGCTAAAATAACACATAATCCCATATAAATTAACAGAATTATTTGTGTGTGTCTCCAAAATAAGGCCAGCAGAACTGGTCCATCAAAGTGAAGATCATCCCACAGGACGCAGCGTTGGAGCTAAATGAACCTGCAGTGCAAGACGCCATCTTGGAGCAAGTGAGCCTCTCAGGTCTTTGTATTTAGTGCGCTGTCTAGTGCAGTCAGTTCGAATGTAACAGTACCAGCTACAATATAAACAGATTCTTCAGGTATTTTACAACAACTCTGAACGCAGCTCAGCCAATAATAATTAAAGACCAGTACATATTTAATTCATTTTGTCAACACATTTTAACTTAATATATATATTTTTGTCTGTTTCCCAGATGAGACAGGAGCTGAGTGAGACACTGACTGATCCTTTTCAGGTGAAATGGAAAAAGGAGCCTAATGGAAAGGTTTTTAACAAAGAGACTTGAGGAAATAGAGAAGAACATAAACAGCAACTCTGACTTTCAAGGATCTAAAGCAGGGCTGCCCAAAGTGCTGTTTATAGCAAGAAACTATCAAAAAGGCATTTTTAAAAAGAGAATATAAATCACTCAGTGTGCTGTTTTATCCCTAATGAGTAATACATGTCGTCATGTTGTATGAAATTCATAGAGCTAAAATATTTACTAATAGAGTAATGTTACTGCTATGTAATGTGTTCAGTGTGAATATGTACTGTGTGTAAAACATGCATATAAAATATTAATGTGATATTAATAAGAGGACATAAACTGGTGACATAATAGTGAGTAAACTTATACAAAATGTGCTTATATTCACACTAACATGTCTGCATGAGTGCAGTTGTTATTACCTCTTGTTAGATACATAATACTTTGTGTTGTGTGTGTGTTTTTATTGATTACGGATTATAGCCTACATAAATTACATAAACTGTTTTGCTTACATTAAATGTATTCATTAGTGAGAGGTATAGGAGAAATTAGGCTCTTTGCTGAATTTTAAAGTAGCTTTTAAGTAACTTTGGTTTTAATGTCTGTTTGTTGTCTGTCTTTGTCAGTGCTATATGCTGTACAGATACATTGTTTGCGATTTGCAATATTGTTCAATAAAACTGACTTGAATTGACTGTAACTAATACATAATAAATGAAAAACTACTAGTACTACGTCTACTTTCAGTGTTATTATTCAGTTATTGTACATCATCCATATTATTGCTATGAACAATAGGTAATATTCAGAGTAGAGTCTGGAGAAGTCTGCAACCCAAACAGACTCACTAACACAAACACTAACTTATTTGTATACATCCTGGGAAATCCAGACATTTGAAATCAGAATAAGCAAATATCTACTTCCTGAAAGATTTGAATACATACAAACGGGATATGACTATGATGTGAGGGTGAAAGACACAATGCCACAATCCTTAGACTGATCAGGATCCACCGGTAAGTCTGTTCTATATTCTCTACATATTAGCGTGTGCACAATATCTAAAATAACAAATAGATACAAAAGTAAAATTCTGGCGTTTCTCCAAAAAGCTTAAATAGTTTTGGAGGCGGTAACATTAATATACAAAACAACTTAATAACAGAAAAAGTTAAGTTTCTATGGAATTCAACTAAAATCTGATGAACACGCTCATAATTAGTAAAACAAAAACTTCTTGTTTTTTTTTAACTGACTTTTTTTTTTTACAAACATAATACAGGGAACACACAGGAGATGGTTATAACATTACACTTGTTTATAAATTATATTCATGTCTATTCTAAATATCATTCTGAAATCATTATTTGTTGATTCATTCAATCATGATATACAATATTTTTGAACATCTGTCCCCCAGTGTGGGATCATTCAAATCTATCTCATCTTATCTTATTGACGAGTGGTTCACATGTTCATCGGTTCCCCCAGAATCTTCTATTATTATTGTCGCTGTATTGTTATCTTATTATTATTGTCTTGGATTTGCAGATTTGCTTGTGTCTTCTGCAGTGTGAATCTGCAGGAACTGAATAGAATTGCACTTTATTGTCCAAGGGCAGGAAATATGTCTTTGACTCACCAATATATATGAGGATAAAATGTCCAGATTGAATTCATTCTTTCCATAGATAATGATATCTTGTTCTATATGGCTTTGGTCGGGATGAAACTCATCATTACAATTGAATAAGAACAGCTTTGTCCATGGTGAGAATGCTGACTTTTTGTCTGCAGCTTTAGCCTTTGTCTTTAATCAGTTTGCATTCTTATGAATGGCAGCAAGCTGTTTACTGCACACTGAGCTGCATTTTCATTCTGAACAAAAACAAATGTAAAACATTTCCTTGTGTGGTTTACAACATGTTTTAACAATCAACATTTAAATATGCAAAGCTCACAGGTAGCTGACACTGAGAAGCACTGTTGCAGGTTGAAAAAATAAATCATCTTCTTTTTCTGACCTTTGTAACAGCTATGGGAGGGGTCGTACGTCTAATTCTCCTTCTTTCAGGTCAGTGTTAAGTTTCTTCTTTCTCATGAGATGGACTGACATCTTCTCACATCTGTTTGTCTTGCTCTATGAAAGCCAGAATATGTTTATGAAGTTTTTTGATGTACTTTACAACATTTGAAGAGTCACAACGGTTGTTTGTTTTTAGTAACAATAGTGATGTCTGTTAGATTTGGTTAGAACAGACCTATTGAATATTAAATCAATATCAATATTAAATCCTTGCTACAGCTTAGCCTTTCTGAGGAACAAGTTTGTAAAAACTTCAGGTTATGAACTTCTTATTAAATCACAAAAACCTGAAATTATTGGTTATTGTGCCATTTATTTTATTTTAAACTACCATCCTTGCATTGTCTGTACAGTATTTTATTACTGAAAAGTTGCACAACATTCAGATTTTTATTAACCCATATGCTCAACAAATAAATCCCATTATCTCCAACAGGGCTGTGTTCTCTGTCCTCATGTGTGCCCCAGAATCGATATTACCTCTTCGTCAATAAGCCTAAAACCTGGTATGAGGCACAGAGCTACTGCAGAGAGAAAGGTTTTGACCTGGCCACCATAGACGACATGGGGGAGATGGAAATAGGTCTTAAAGCTGTAGAGGGCAAATACAAGGATGCCGTGTGGATAGGGCTTCAGAAAGAACTGACTCGGAGGTGGCACTGGTCCCTGGCGGACAAAGATTTCTACAAGGAGGGAGAAAGAGACTATTTCATCCCAGACGAAGCAAATAACAACTGCTTGACTTACACAAAGGGGAAACCGTCTACAACTCCCTGTCTATACAAGAAATATTCAGTTTGCTTTGATGGTGAGAGTCATTCATTTTGAATTGAATTGAATTCATTTGTGCACTGCAACTACACTACAAAAACACTATAACTGTGATTTATTTATTGAATTAGCTATTTTCTTTTCAGGTAAAAAACATGGTCGTGAACAGTATGTTCTCACTAACGTAGCCATGGATTGGCCTGTTGCACGGGACTACTGCAGGGCTCATCACACAGACCTGACCAGTGTGAGGAATGAGCTGGAAAACCAGATAATTCTGGAAGTGTCCCGTAACCTGACGGTGTGGATTGGCTCCTTCAGAGATCCCTGGATGTGGTCCGACCAGACTTACTCTTCGTTCAGATACTGGAAAGAAGGCAAAGAAGTTTGGACTGATGATACAAAAAACTGTGTTGCTATGTTAGAAAGTTCATCTGGTAGATGGGGAGAAATTCCATGTAATGAAGCTCATCCATTCCTCTGTAACTATGGTAAAGCTCCTGTTTTACATTCTTTATACTCTTTTGGTTGAAGCATTTAATATAGGTTCAAAATTTGAATTACCCGTCATAGCTTGTTGTTTGTGATGTTCATAACCCCGATCCCCCCTTCTTTATTGTTTATTATCGCAGTTTATACTGATAACTGTGGAATATATATTGCAGGAAAATATTACATTTTGAAACTATCGGTTCTTGATTTCACACAGAACAAAAAAAGCTCCTTATTTCGGTCCAGCGACTGTTGATTTTGGCAGCTAAAACCAGGAGTTCTGTATTAGGGTCATCACCATGTGGCTTTTTTGGAGCCAGCGGTGGTGATGTACTAAAAGTTGAGCTGTGTGCTCATTAGTAGGAAACAATGGCACTGCCTAGTTTGACAGTTTGATCTCAGTTTTGTGCGGTGCGCTGCAATCTCACAGCTATTTTACTCTAAACGGAACAATAATTTACTAAATGAACATTGTGCTGCATGGAAGAAGACTTGAAACCAGCGATTGAGACCATAAACTCATTAGGAACCAGTTACACTAATAAATCAAATGAGAAGCAGGCTGATTTCCCCATAGAAGAGCATGCAATTGGTCTTTTATTGCAGCCAATGGAGCTGCCCCCTGCTGGCCATTATATAGAATGCAGGTTTAAGAAACTTCTGCATTAGCAGGACCTAAAACAGAAACACAGGCACTGTTTGGTGGAGGGGTTCAATTAAGAGCAACAGCTGAGTGCACATCTTCCTCTGTGGTGGGTTGTCACAGTGAATATAATGAAATGTGTCTGTGTTTGTGTGTCTCTTTAGCAGGTCAAGTTGTAAAGTTCATTAAAGTGAGGATCAGCTCAGAGGACTCAGAGTTGGATCTAAATGACCCTGTAGTGTATGATGACATACTGAAGCAAGTGAGTCTCACATTTAAATGTGCTGTCTGATGCAGAGATAACATGAAACACTCCTGATGTTGTGAAGTGGGAAAAAGCTTTTAATTAGTTAATTTTCTCTTCTGTTCCTCAGCTCAAGCAAGAGCTGAGTAACACGAATGTGACAAATCTACGATGGAGAAAGCATCCTGATGGAAGAGTTTTTGTCAAGGAACCAAACCGAGGTGGCTAAAGAGAGAGAGAGGAATCAGAGAAGCAGTTTTAACTCCAAACTGTTTCTATTGTGTGTTTGGTCATAAGTGACAAACCCACTAAGAAGCAATTGTACAGCTCTACGAAGTTTTTAGTTAGCTCATTGTTTTGGTTTTATCTCACATATACTTTGTGGTTTAGTGTCACTTCTCTCATCAATCCTCTTTCCAGCAGCAAAATGCTACGTTCCCTCATCACTAGAGGGAATAACAACAGCACATTAAGGTTAGCAAATAACGTAGGAGTCCCAGGAGTTTATTGGAGATCTAAAGAGGAGAATTGCATGAAAATTGTTTGTTGTTGTAACATGAAAGAAATGAATGAATGTAGCTTTTAGCAGAAATCAATGGAAGAATAACATTTTAGTTTTGAGGTTCTTGTACTTGAATATTTCCTACTTTATATACTCATATGCTACCTTTTAGAAAGAGATATTGTACTTTTGTATTTCATTACATTTGAGATTTAATCGTTAATATTTTACATACATAACATATAATCAGCTTGTAAAATATTGCTATTGATTAAACTATTCATAGGAGCATATATCCAATGAGCTCCACCTCAAAAAACACATGTATTCCTGCATTAAAATGTCTATGAACACTAGATCTTTGTTATATGTTTTGTGAGTTGTGTACTTACATTATCACAAATGTTTCCAACAAGTTCTGGAGTAATCTGTAATTTTATTCAGGTAACAGTGTGTTTGCAATTTGTAGTACGGGGTGGGATTCAGCAAACGTTTAATCCCACATACTGTGATTTGATTGGTTTATCTGTATAATCTGATAAATTTAATTGGTTGAAACTTGCAGCTAAAATAATCCATTCATGGCAGAAAAGGCCTTACTGTACAAAAACACAACTTTAAAACTCCAGTCACTGATGTGACTAAACTACATTGGGCACTGAAGTTTGATGAATGTATTGTTTATCAGACCACAAATAAGAAGAATTACTGGTTAACAAACAACAACAAAAAAACAACTTTATTTACAGATTTTAGTGAAACTGGATCATATTTTATGGATTTTTGAATAGGATTTCCCTCTAATGTCCTCTCTGCTCTACCTCAACTCTAGTTAATAAATTAACTAATTTAATCAGTACATAAGGCATAGTAATTCAGTCTAATTGCAAAGTGATGTTTATAGCACAAATCTATTAAAAAGGCATTTTTAAAAAGAGAATATAAATCACTCATTGTGCTGTTTTATCCCTAATGAGTAATACATGTCGCCATGTTGTAGTCGGTCAAGGAAACGTGGGATCATCTTAATAAAACAAAACAAAAGGTGTTTGCTTTTGGCCCCTGGTCCACCATTAAGATCCAGTTTTGGCCCTACAATGGAAAAGAAATTGGGCACACCTGGTTTAGAGGGTCTATACACGTAAAGTTACACTACTCATTGAGTATGAATAAATAAATGTGTATGAAATTCATAGAGCTAAAATATTTACTAAGAGAGTAATGTAACTGGTATGTAATGTGTTCAGTGTGAATATGTACTGTGTGTAAAACATGCATATAAAATGTTAATGTTACTGGTGACATAATAGTGAGTAAACTTATACAAAATGTGCTTATATTCACACTAACATGTCTGCATGAGTGCAGTTGTTATTACCTCTTGTAAGATACATAATACTTTGAACCCTAGGTTCCTCTTCAGTGCTGTAGCCAGGCTGACAGAGAGTCACAGCTCTATTGAGCCACATATCTCCATAACCTTAAGTAGCAACGACTTCATGAGCTTCTTTTCATAATAAAATGATTACTATTAGAGACTAAATTAATCACCAAATGCCCTCAACAGCTATCAATGGCTCTCCAAGTTCAGGAACTTTAACTAATGTAAACTCAGATATAGACTGTTTTTCTGCTTTAGATCTTCATCAGTTAACTTCAATAATTTCTTCATCGAACCCGTCAACCTGTCTGTTAGACCCCATCCCAACTAGGCTGCTTAAAGAAGTCGTACCCTTAATTGGCACTTCTTTACTAGATATGATCAATCTTTCTTTATTGTCAGGATATGTACCACAGTCCTTTAAAGTAGCTGTAATTAAACCCTTTCTTAAAAAGCCCACTCTCGACGCAGGGGCTTTAGCCAACTATAGACTGATCTCTAACCTCCCCTTCCTCTCTAAGATTCTGGAGAAAGTAGTTGCCAAACAGTTGTGTGACTTTCTACATAACAATAGTTCATTTGATGATTTTCAGTCAGGATTTAGAGTTCATCACAGCACAGAGACAGCTCTGGTTAAAGTTAACAATGACCTTCTGATTGCTTCAGACAATGGACTTGTCTCTGTACTTGTATTATTAGATCTTAGTGCTGCATTTGACACCATTGACCATGATATTCTTTTACAGTGACTTCAGCATCAAATTGGCATTAAAGGAACCCCACTAAGCTGGTTTAAGTCATATTTATCAGATCGTTCGCAGTTTGTACACGTTAACGACGAATCTTCCATAAAGACTACAGTTAGTCATGGATTTCCACAAGATTCTGGACTTACCAATACTTTTTACTTTATATATGCTTCCCTTAGGCAACATTATTAGGAATCACTCCATTAACATTCATTGCTATGCAGATGATACGCAGTTATATCTATCGATCAAGCCTGATGAAATTAATCAATCATCTAAATTACAAACATGTCTTAAGGACATAAAATCCTGGATGAGCTGCAATTTTCTGATGTTATACTCAGAAAAAAAAGAAATTATTGTACTCACTGTCTAAAGATACTACTCTAAAGATATAAAAATAAAATATTATTTCCAAATCTTGAAATTGAAATCTTTTTCATATAGATTTTATGAATTCATGACAAATCCCTCATATAGAACTAAACAGCTTTGAGCAATAGATTAATTTAGGCATCTATCTGAAGTCCGACTATTATTTTGATCTATGCCATCGTCAATAATTCCCTACAGCTTCAGGAAATACTGAATATCCCCCTCAGGTATTTCTAAAGGGAAGTCCACATATTTTTCTTCAGCCAGCTTGAGTCCATTAGGTCACTTACCTTAAATACCCAACACCTTTTCATCCCAGCTTTACATAGGTAGTATAATTTGCGTCACACTGCATTTGATTGTAAAGTCGAAATGATACTGTTTTTTTTTTTTTAAACGAGAGAAAGAAGTTGAACACGTCGGGTGTCAGGATTAAGGGTTCGACTTTAGCTTGCCCTTCAAATGGATTTCCATAGTTTGCATTTGTCCCAGAAGGACATTAAAAGGTTTACATACAGAGGAAAAACACTTTTGCATAATGTGTATGATGCACCCGACAAACAAACACTGAACCTGTTGAACTGTCACTGTACATCAACTACAAGCTACAAGTATAAGAGCACTGTACACCACAGCACTGCATTGTGATAAGTGCTGAGACTGGACGAAATCCTTGCTGTGTACAAACAGGTGCACAGTGTAAACAAAGTAAAGAGAAACATTTATTGAAGCAGAAAATAGAGAACTGAATAAAGACAAGTTGGACAAGTGAAGGGGACTCTGTAGACAAATCAAGACTTAACAAACATCAGGTAAGTCTCTTCTACATCTTCTCTGCAATCACACACAACCTTGAGCTGTTAATCTGTTCATACATTTTCAAGATATTAAAGGTTACTTATTGTGATTTACAACAAAAGGTTAGAATGATTTTTAGATGTACTTCCCTTTATGCTACTTTTAAACAAAATGGGTGGGTGGTTCTGTCCTTTGGGCTCTGCACAGACACCTCGCCCCACCAATGTTACTGTAACACCTGTATGTACAGACATTCACATATAGCAAAAAAATAGACTGAAGCAGATTTGTAATAAAATGCACTCACAGGTGTTTTAAAGAAATTAGTGTCTCGGGTTCAAAGTAAAGTATCATTGTTCACAAAGTCGTGTGTGTCTACAGTGTAATCAAGAGGCAAAATTAGAAAAAGAGGAATTGACAGTGGAGGAGAGAGGGTATACCCTGTCTGACACATTATATTTTCAGTAAATATCTTTCAGTGGAACAAGTTGTCAAATTCTAGGTTAAGCAGTAAAAGGAGGACGAACCTTCTGGCTTAACTAACAATAAAAAAGTTTATTTGTGCAACAACAAACAATAATTTAAACGTTAAGTCGAATATAATATTCAGCTTTGTTTGTTTGGGATCTTATTGGACGAGAAAGGAAACTGGTTATTTATATATTATCATTGTTGGAAGAAATATTATGGATTTTGGAGTATATGGAAATGAATAAATTTTTTCCCCCTTGTTTTGTATGGCCTTCATAAAAGCTATGGAAGGGATCACACATCTAATTCTGCTCATTTCAGGTCAGTGCCAATCCTTATACTTTGCATGAGTTTAAATTCATGTCACATCTCACATTACAGAACCAGCCTTTTTTATTTCGGTGTCTTTTCTACAACCCTCGTTTCATTGTCTACATAACATTTCTACCAGTGAAAAGTATAACACCGTATGCTCGTCAAACGTCAAGTATCCCTTCTTCACTGTGACCTTTCTGTCACAGGGCTGTGTATTCTGCCCGTATGCGTCGCCCAGCACCAATACTCCTTAGTCACTACGCCTAAAACCTGGTATGAGGCACAGAGCTACTGCAGAGAGAAATGTCGTGACCTGGCCACCATAGATGACATGAGAGAGATGAAAACAGTACTTGAAACTGTAAAGGGCAAATACGATGATGCTGTATGGATAGGGCTTCACAAAGCGGAGACCAGGACGTGGCACTGGTCTCTGGCGGACAAAGATTTCTACAAGGAGGGAGAAAGAGACTATTTCCTCTGGGGCGAAGAAACAGGTTATCACTGTGTGGCTCATCAACAGGGGAAACTGGATACAGCTTCCTGTCACAACAAATATTATTCAATTTGCTTTGATGGTGAGTGTCATTCATTTCCATGCTGGTGGCACACAATGAAACGCAACCAAGTCATTTTTCTGTGCTGTAATACAAACACACACAATATATGCTAACTGATACAGAAATGTATTGCACAGATCTGATGTCTTCTTGCACATAGAAATATTAATAGAATTACAAAAATAACCTGTGAATTTACATGTCTAACAGTTTAAAAAAAAGTATTCGTTCTGTAATTTTACATGGATTTTTTTGTTAATTGACAGATATCTTGTATAATTATATATTATTTTACAAAAACATTGTACAAATGTTTTTATCAGTGTATACGTATTGGTAAACTGTCAATATACAGTTTTATCACTGAAAACAGCAATAATTACTGCAATTTCACAGATGGTGACTTTTATTAGAGTTCTATAACTTTAAAAAAATCAAATAATAACAGCACTCTTCTGTAAATGTAAGCCTGATATTGTATTATAGCAGTGTTTGCCTGTATTTATAGGTAATTTCATTGTTTTGTAAATATCTTCAATTAAATTGTTTTACATGTGGAGCTGAACCACAATGAACCCAGTAGCCCAGAGGAGGGGCTGAGTAATTGAAAAGTAACCCAGCCAAAACTATTTTTATTAATCCTAATCTGGCAACACTGACAATCCTCTAAATTCATCATTATGTTAATAATATCAAATGTTCAAAAATGTTTAATCTACATGTGGCTGCCATGATTTTTGGAGAAGGCCATATTGTAGTGCTGCTGGGTCAGACCCTTAAGTGCAGACACATCCAAATAAATGAAATGTGAAAATGCAACATGAAACACAACTAAGATTTCTTTTTCTTTTTAGGAAGAAATGGTCAAGATCAATACATTCTCAAGCTAGAATCTTTGAATTGGACTGATGCTCGAGACTACTGCAGAACATACCACACAGACCTGGCCAGTCTGAGGAATGACGCAGAGTATCTGAAGATAGAGAAGATAGACAATGGCTATCGTTTGTGGGTTGGTCTCTTCAGAGACGACTGGGTGTGGTCAGACAAGACTTACTCCTCGTTGAGATACTGGCATGCACAACACAATCTCTATAGTGAAGATCTTGAAGAATGTGGTGTTTTGCTGAAGAGCAAATCTGGTAGATGGGGAAGTCGACCATGTGCAGAAACACATCCGTTCCTTTGTAACTGCCGTGAGCAAAAGTTCTTCATTTAGATTGTTTCTGCTTTGTTTAGGCCAAAGTCTTTTCCAGTAATATATGCAGAATGTGTCTGTTATTTACATGATGCAAATGTGCTAAAATAACACATAATCCCATATAAATTAACAGAATTATTTGTGTGTGTCTCCAAAATAAGCCCAGCAGAACTGGTCCATCAAAGTGAAGATCATCCCACAGGACGCAGCGTTGGACCTAAATGAACCTGCAGTGCAAGACGCCATCTTGGAGCAAGTGAGCCTCTCAGGTCTTTGTATTTAGTGCGCTGTCTAGTGCAGTCAGTTCGAATGTAACAGTACCAGCTACAATATAAACAGATTCTTCAGGTATTTTACAACAACTCTGAACGCAGCTCAGCCAATAATAATTAAAGACCAGTACATATTTAATTCATTTTGTCAACACATTTTAACTTAATATATATATTTTTGTCTGTTTCCCAGATGAGACAGGAGCTGAGTGAGACACTGACTGATCCTTTTCAGCTGAAATGGAAAAAGCAGCCTAATGGAAAGGTTTTTAACAAAGAGACTTGAGGAAATAGAGAAGAACATAAACAGCAACTCTGACTTTCAAGGATCTAAAGCAGGGCTGCCCAAAGTGATGTTTATAGCAAGAAACTATCAAAAAGGCATTTTTAAAAAGAGAATATAAATCACTCAGTGTGCTGTTTTATCCCTAATGAGTAATACATGTCGTCATGTTGTATGAAATTCATAGAGCTAAAATATTTACTAATAGAGTAATGTTACTGCTATGTAATGTGTTCAGTGTGAATATGTACTGTGTGTAAAACATGCATATAAAATATTAATGTGATATTAATAAGAGGACATAAACTGGTGACATAATAGTGAGTAAACTTATACAAAATGTGCTTATATTCAAACTAACATGTCTGCATGAGTGCAGTTGTTATTACCTCTTGTTAGATACATAATACTTTGTGTTGTGTGTGTGTTTTTGTGTTTTTAGTGATTACAGATTATACATAAATAACATAAACTGTTTTGCTTACATGAAATGTATTCATTAGTGAGAGGTATAGGAGAAATGAAGCTCTTTGCTGCATTATAAAGCTTTTAAAAAACTGTTTTTAATGTCTGTTTGTTGTCTGTCTTTGTCAGTGCTGTATGCTGTACAGATACATTGTTTGTGATTTGCAATATTGCTCAATAAAACTGATTTGAATTGACTTGAACTAATACATAATAAATTAAAAACTACTAGTACTACGTCTTGTTTCATTATTATTATTCAGTTATTGTACATCATCCATATTATTTCTATGAACAATGGGTAATATTCAGAGTAAAGTCTGGAGAAGTCTGCACCCTAAACAGACTCACTTAACACGCTATACAAACTTATTTGTTTACATCCTGGGAAGTCTAGACATTTGAAATCAGAATAAGCAAATATCTACTTCCTTAAAGATTTGAATACATACAAACGGGATATGACTATGATGTGAGAGTGAAAGGCACAATGCCACAATCCTGATCAGGATCCACCGGTAAGTCTGTTCTATATTCTCTACATACTTCTTTTTAACAAACATAATACAGAGAACACACAGGAGATGGTTATAACATTACACTTGTTTATAAATTATATTCATGTCTATTCTAAATATCGGTCTGAAATCATTATTCATTGATTCATTCATGAAGAAGTAAATCATCTGTCATCCAACTTCTTTTTCTGACCTTTGTAACAGCTATGGGAGGGGTCGTACGTCTAATTCTCCTTCTTTCAGGTCAGTGTTAAGTTTCTTCTTTCTCATGAAATAGACTGACATTTTCTCACATCTGTTTGTCTTGCTCTATGAAAGCCAGAGTATGTTTATGAAGTTTTTTTATGTACTTTACAACAATTTGTGTAATTATTGGTTATTGTGCCATTTATTTTATTTTAAACTACCATCCTTGCATTGTCTGTACAGTATATTATTACTGATCAGATTTTTATTAACCCATATGCTCGACAAATAAATGTCAATCATTTGTTCCCATTTTCTCCAACAGGGCTGTGTTCTCTGTCCTCATGTGTGCCCCAGAATCGATATTACCTTTTCGTCAATACGCCTAAAACCTGGTATGAGGCACAGAGCTACTGCAGAGAGAAAGGTTTTGACCTGGCCACCATAGACGACATGGGGGAGATGGAAATAGGTCTTAAAGCTGTAGAGGGCAAATACAAGGATGCCGTGTGGATAGGGCTTCAGAAAGAACTGACTCGGAGGTGGCACTGGTCTCTGGCGGACAAAGATTTCTACAAGGAGGGAGAAAGAGACTATTTCATCCCAGGGAAAACAAGTTACAGCTGCTTGACTTACAAAAATGGGAAACCGTCTCCAGCTGGTTGTCCAAACAAGAAATATTCGGTTTGCTTTGATGGTGAGAGTCATTCATTTTGAATTGAATTGAATTCATTTGTGCACTGCAACTACACTACAAAAACACTATAACTGTGATTTATTTATTGAATTAGCTATTTTCTTTTCAGGTAAAAAACATGGTCATGAACAGTATGTTCTCACTAACGTAGCCATGGCATGGACTGTTGCACGGGACTACTGCAGGGCTCATCACACAGACCTGACCAGTGTGAGGAATGAGCTGGAAAACCAGATAATTCTGGAAGTGTCCCGTAACCTGACGGTGTGGATTGGCTTCTTCAGAGATCCCTGGATGTGGTCCGACCAGACTTACTCTTCGTTCAGATACTGGAAAGAAGGCAAAGAAGTTTGGACTGATGATACAAAAAACTGTGTTGCTATGTTAGAAAGTTCATCTGGTAGATGGGGAGAAATTCCATGTAATGAAGCTCATCCATTCCTCTGTAACTATGGTAAAGCTCCTGTTTTACATTCTTTATACTCTTTTGGTTGAAGCATTTAATATCAGTTTAAAATTTGAATTACCCGTCATAGCTGGTTGTTTGTGATGTTCATAACCCCCGATCCCCCTTCTTTATTGTTGCTAACGTTTATTATTGCAGTTTATACTGATAACTGTGGAATATATATTGCAGGAAACTATTACATTTTGAAACTATCGGTTCTTGATTTCACACAGGACAAAAAAGGCTCCTTATTTCGATCCAGCGACTGTTGATTTTGGCAGCTAAAACCAGGAGTTCTGTATTAGGGTCATCACCATGTGGCTTTTTTGGAGCCAGCGGTGGTGATGTACTAAATGTTGAGCTGTGTGCTCATTAGTAGGAAACAATAGTTTGACAGTTTGATCTCAGTTTTGTGCGGTGCGCTGGAATCTCACAGCTATTTTACTCTAAACGGAACAATAATTTATTGTGCTGCATGGAAGAAGACTTGAAACCAGCGATTGAGACCATAAACTCATTAGGAACCAGTTACGCTAATAAATCAAATGAGAAGCAGGCTGATTTCCCCATAGAAGAGCATGCAATTGGTCTTTTATTGCAGCCAATTGAGCTGCCCCCTGCTGGCCATTACATAAAATGCAGGTTTAAGAAACTTCTGCATTAGCAGGCCCTAAAACAGAAACACAGGCACTGTTGGGTGGAGGGGTTCAATTAAGAGCAACAGCTGAGTGTACATCTTCCTCTGTGGTGGGCTGTCACAGTGAATATAATGAAATGTGTCTGTGTTTGTGTGTCTCTTTAGCAGGTCAAGTTGTAAAGTTCATTAAAGTGAGGATCAGCTCAGAGGACTCAGAGTTGGATCTAAATGACCCTGTAGTGTATGATGACATACTGAAGCAAGTGAGTCTCACATTTAAATGTGCTGTCTGATGCAGAGATAACACGAAACACTCCTGATGTTGTGAAGTGGGAAAAAGCTTTTAATTAGTTATTTTTCTCTTCTGTTCCTCAGGTCAAGCAAGAGCTGAGTTACACGAATGTGACAAATCTACGATGGAGAAAGCATCCTGATGGAAGAGTTTTTGTCAAGGAACCAAACCGAGGTGGCTAAAGAGAGAGAGAGGAATCAGAGAAGCAGTTTTAACTTCAAACTGTTTCTATTGTGTGTTTGGTCATAAGTGACAAACCCACTAAGAAGCAATTGTACAGCTCTACGAAGTTTTTAGTTAGCTCATTGTTTTGGTTTTATCTCACATATACTTTGTGGTTTAGTGTCACTTCTCTCCTCAATCCTCTTTCCAGCAGCAAAATGCTACGTTCCCTCATCACTAGAGGGAATAACAACAGCACATTAAGGTTAGCAAATAACGTAGGAGTCCCAGGAGTTTATTGGAGATCTAAAGAGGAGAATTGCATGAAAATTGTTTGTTGTTGTAACATGAAAGAAATGAATGAATGTAGCTTTTAGCAGAAATCAATTGAATTGAATATTTCCTATTTTATATACTCATATGCTACCTTTTAGAAAGAGATATTGTACTTTTTTATTTCACTACATTTGAGATTAATCGTTAATATTTTACATACATAACATATAATCAGCTTGTAAAATATTGCTATTGATTAAACTATTCATAGGAGCATATATCCAATGAGCTCCACCTCAAAAAACACATGTATTCCTGCATTAAAATGTCTATGAACACTAGATCTTTGTTATATGTTTTGTGAGTTGTGTACTTACATTATCACTAATGTTTCCAACAAGTTCTGGAGTAATCTGTAATTTTATTCAGGTAACAGTGTGTTTGCAATTTGTAGTACGGGGTGGGATTCAGCAAACGTTTAATCCCACATACTGTGATTTGATTGGTTTATCTGTATAATCTGATACATTTAATTGGTTGGAACTTGCAGCTAAAATAATCCATTCATGGCAGAAAAGGCCTTACTGTACAAAAACACAACTTTAAAACTCCAGTCACTGATGTGACAAAACTACATTGGGCACTGAAGTTTGATGAATGTATTGTTTATCAGACCACAAATAAGAAGAATTACTGGTTAACAAACAACAACAAAAAAACAACTTTATTTACAGATTTTAGTGAAACTGGATCATATTTTATGGATATTTAAATAGGATTTCCCTCTAATGTCCTCTCTGCTCTACCTCAACTCTAGTTAATAAATTAACTAATTTAATCAGTACATAAGGCATAGTAATTCAGTCTAATTGCAAAGTGATGTTTATAGCACAAATCTATTAAAAAGGCATTTTTAAAAAGAGAATATAAATCACTCATTGTGCTGTTTTATCCCTAATGAGTAATACATGTCGTCATGTTGTAGTCGGTCAAGGAAACGTGGGATCATCTTAATAAAACAAAACAAAAGGTGTTTGCTTTTGGCCCCTGGTCCACCATTAAGATCCAGTTTTGGCCCTACAATGGAAAAGAAATTGGGCACACCTGGTTTAGAGGGTCTATACACGTAAAGTTACACTACTCATTGAGTATGAATAAATAAATGTGTATGAAATTCATAGAGCTAAAATATTTACTAAGAGAGTAATGTAACTGGTATGTAATGTGTTCAGTGTGAATATGTACTGTGTGTAAAACATGCATATAAAATGTTAATGTTACTTTAACTAATGTAAACTCAGATATAGACTGTTTTTCTGCTTTCGATCTTCATCAGTTAACTTCAATAATTTCTTCATCGAACCCGTCAACCTGTCTGTTAGACCCCATCCCAACTAGGCTGCTTAAAGAAGTCGTACCCTTAATTGGCACTTCTTTACTAGATATGATCAATCTTTCTTTATTGTCAGGATATGTACCACAGTCCTTTAAAGTAGCTGTAATTAAACCCCTTCTTAAAAAGCCCACTCTCGACGCAGGGGCTTTAGCCAACTATAGACTGATCTCTAACCTCCCCTTCCTCTCTAAGATTCTGGAGAAAGTAGTTGCCAAACAGTTGTGTGACTTTCTACATAACAATAGTTCATTTGATGATTTTCAGTCAGGATTTAGAGTTCATCACAGCACAGAGACAGCTCTGGTTAAAGTTAACAATGACCTTCTGATTGCTTCAGACAATGGACTTGTCTCTGTACTTGTATTATTAGATCTTAGTGCTGCATTTGACACCATTGACCATGATATTCTTTTACAGTGACTTCAGCATCAAATTGGCATTAAAGGAACCCCACTAAGCTGGTTTAAGTCATATTTATCAGATCGTTCGCAGTTTGTACACGTTAACGACGAATCTTCCATAAAGACTACAGTTAGTCATGGATTTCCACAAGATTCTGGACTTACCAATACTTTTTACTTTATATGCTTCCCTTAGGCAACATTATTAGGAATCACTCCATTAACATTCATTGCTATGCAGATGATACGCAGTTATATCTATCGATCAAGCCTGATGAAATTAATCAATCATCTAAATTACAAACATGTCTTAAGGACATAAAATCCTGGATGAGCTGCAATTTTCTGATGTTATACTCAGAAAAAAAAGAAATTATTGTACTCACTGTCTAAAGATACTACTCTAAAGATATAAAAATAAAATATTATTTCCAAATCTTGAAATTGAAATCTTTTTCATATAGATTTTATGAATTCATGACAAATCCCTCATATAGAACTAAACGGCTTTGAGCAATAGATTAATTTAGGCATCTATCTGAAGTCCGACTATTATTTTGATCTATGCCATCGTCAATAATTCCCTACAGCTTCAGGAAATACTGAATATCCCCCTCAGGTATTTCTAAAGGGAAGTCCTATATTTTTCTTCAGCCAGCTTGAGTCCATTAGGTCACTTACCTTAAATACCCAACACCTTTTCATCCCAGCTTTACATAGGTAGTATAATTTGCGTCACACTGCATTTGATTGTAAAGTCGAAATGATACTGTTTTTTTTTTTTTAAACGAGAGAAAGAAGTTGAACACGTCGGGTGTCAGGATTAAGGGTTCGACTTTAGCTTGCCCTTCAAATGGATTTCCATAGTTTGCATTTGTCCCAGAAGGACATTAAAAGGTTTACATACAGAGGAAAAACACTTTTGCATAATGTGTATGATGCACGGGACAAACAAACACTGAACCTGTTGAACTGTCACTGTACATCAACTACAAGCTACAAGTATAAGAGCACTGTACACCACAGCACTGCATTGTGATAAGTGCCGAGACTGGACGAAATCCTTGCTGTGTACAAACAGGTGCACAGTGTAAACAAAGTAAAGAGAAACATTTATTGAAGCAGAAAATAGAGAACTGAATAAAGACAAGTTGGACAAGTGAAGGGGACTCTGTAGACAAATCAAGACTTAACAAACATCAGGTAAGTCTCTTCTACATCTTCTCTGCAATCACACACAACCTTGAGCTGTTAATCTGTTCATACATTTTCAAGATATTAAAGGTTACTTATTGTGATTTACAACAAAAGGTTAGAATGATTTTTAGATGTACTTCCCTTTATGCTACTTTTAAACAAAATGGGTGGGTGGTTCTGTCCTTTGGGCTCTGCACAGACACCTCGCCCCACCAATGTTACTGTAACACCTGTATGTACAGACATTCACATATAGCAAAAAAATAGACTGAAGCAGATTTGTAATAAAATGCACTCACAGGTGTTTTAAAGAAATTAGTGTCTCGGGTTCAAAGTAAAGTATCATTGTTCACAAAGTCGTGTGTGTCTACAGTGTAATCAAGAGGCAAAATGAGAAAAAGAGGAATTGACAGTGGAGGAGAGAGGGTATACCCTGTCTGACACATTATATTTTCAGTAAATATCTTTCAGTGGAACAAGTTGTCAAATTCTAGGTTAAGCAGTAAAAGGAGGACGAACCTTCTGGCTTAACTAACAATAAAAAAGTTTATTTGTGCAACAACAAACAATAATTTAAACGTTAAGTCGAATATAATATTCAGCTTTGTTTGTTTGGGATCTTATGGACGAGAAAGGAAACTGGTTATTTATATATTATCATTGTTGGAAGAAATATTATGGATTTTGGAGTATATGGAAATGAATAAATTTTTTCCCCCTTGTTTTGTATGGCCTTCATAAAAGCTATGGAAGGGATCACACATCTAATTCTGCTCATTTCAGGTCAGTGCCAATCCTTATACTTTGCATGAGTTTAAATTCATGTCACATCTCACATTACAGAACCAGCCTTTTTTATTTCGGTGTCTTTTCTACAACCCTCGTTTCATTGTCTACATAACATTTCTACCAGTGAAAAGTATAACACTGTATGCTCGTCAAATGACAAGTATCCCTTCTTCACCGTGACCTTTCTTTCACAGGGCTGTGTATTCTGCCCGTATGCGTCGCCCAGCACCGATACTCCTTAGTCACTACGCCCAAAACCTGGTATGAGGCACAGAGCTACTGCAGAGAGAAATGTCGTGACCTGGCCACCATAGATGACATGAGAGAGATGAAAACAGTACTTGAAACTGTAAAGGGCAAATACGATGATGCTGTATGGATAGGGCTTCACAAAGCGGAGACCAGGACGTGGCACTGGTCTCTGGCGGACAAAGATTTCTACAAGGAGGGAGAAAGAGACTATTTCATCTGGGGCGAAGAAACTGGTTATCACTGTGTGGCTCATCAACAGGGGAAACTGTATTCAGCTTCCTGTCACAACAAATATTATTCAATTTGCTTTGATGGTGAGTGTCATTCATTTCCATGCTGGTGGCACACAATGAAACGCAACCAAGTCATTTTTCTGTGCTGTAATACAAACACACACAATATATGCTAACTGATACAGAAATGTATTGCACAGATCTGATGTCTTCTTGCACATAGAAATATTAATAGAATTACAAAAATAACCTGTGAATTTACATGTCTAACAGTTTAAAAAAAAGTATTCGTTCTGTAATTTTACATGGATTTTTTTGTTAATTGACAGATATCTTGTATAATTATATATTATTTTACAAAAACATTGTACAAATGTTTTTATCAGTGTATACATATTGGTAAACTGTCAATATACAGTTTTATCACTGAAAACAGCAATAATTACTGCAATTTCACAGATGGTGACTTTTATTAGAGTTCTATAACTTTAAAAAAATCAAATAATAACAGCACTCTTCTGTAAATGTAAGCCTGATATTGTATTATAGCAGTGTTTGCCTGTATTTATAGGTAATTTCATTGTTTTGTAAATATCTTCAATTAAATTGTTTTACATGTGGAGCTGAACCACAATGAACCCAGTAGCCCAGAGGAGGGGCTGAGTAATTGAAAAGTAACCCAGCCAAAACTATTTTTATTAATCCTAATCTGGCAACACTGACAATCCTCTAAATTCATCATTATGTTAATAATATCAAATGTTCAAAAATGTTTATCTACATGTGGCTGCCATGATTTTTGGAGAAGGCCATATTGTAGTGCTGCTGGGTCAGACCCTTAAGTGCAGACACATCCAAATAAATGAAATGTGAAAATGCAACATGAAACACAACTAAGATTTCTTTTTCTTTTTAGGAAGAAATGGTCAAGATCAATACATTCTCAAGCTAGAATCTTTGAATTGGACTGATGCTCGAGACTACTGCAGAACATACCACACAGACCTGGCCAGTCTGAGGAATGACGCAGAGTATCTGAAGATAGAGAAGATAGACAATGGGTATCGTTTGTGGGTTGGTCTCTTCAGAGACGACTGGGTGTGGTCAGACAAGACTTACTCCTCGTTGAGATACTGGCATGCACAACACAAACTCTATAGTGAAGATCTTGAAGAATGTGGTGTTTTGCTGAAGAGCAAATCTGGTAGATGGGGAAGTCGACCATGTGCAGAAACACATCCGTTCCTTTGTAACTGCCGTGAGCAAAAGTTCTTCATTTAGATTGTTTCTGCTTTGTTTAGGCCAAAGTCTTTTCCAGTAATATATGCAGAATGTGTCTGTTATTTACATGATGCAAATGTGCTAAAATAACACATAATCCCATATAAAGTAACAGAATTATTTGTGTGTGTCTCCAATATAAGCCCAGCAGAACTGGTCCATCAAAGTGAAGATCATCCCACAGGACGCAGCGTTGGACCTAAATGAACCTGCAGTGCAAGACGCCATCTTGGAGCAAGTGAGCCTCTCAGGTCTTTGTATTAAGTGCGCTGTCTAGTGCAGTCAGTTCGAATGTAACAGTACCAGCTACAATATAAACAGATTCTTCAGGTATTTTACAACAACTCTGAACGCAGCTCAGCCAATAATAATTAAAGACCAGTACATATTTAATTCATTTTGTCAACACATTTTAACTTAATATATATATTTTTGTCTGTTTCCCAGATGAGACAGGAGCTGAGTGAGACACTGACTGATCCTTTTCAGCTGAAATGGAAAAAGCAGCCTAATGGAAAGGTTTTTAACAAAGAGACTTGAGGAAATAGAGAAGAACATAAACAGCAACTCTGACTTTCAAGGATCTAAAGCAGGGCTGCCCAAAGTGATGTTTATAGCAAGAAACTATCAAAAAGGCATTTTTAAAAAGAGAATATAAATCACTCAGTGTGCTGTTTTATCCCTAATGAGTAATACATGTCGTCATGTTGTATGAAATTCATAGAGCTAAAATATTTACTAATAGAGTAATGTTACTGCTATGTAATGTGTTCAGTGTGAATATGTACTGTGTGTAAAACATGCATATAAAATATTAATGTGATATTAATAAGAGGACATAAACTGGTGACATAATAGTGAGTAAACTTATACAAAATGTGCTTATATTCACACTAACATGTCTGCATGAGTGCAGTTGTTATTACCTCTTGTTAGATACATAATACTTTGTGTTGTGTGTGTGTTTTTGTGTTTTTAGTGATTACAGATTATACATAAATAACATAAACTGTTTTGCTTACATGAAATGTATTCATTAGTGAGAGGTATAGGAGAAATTAGGCTCTTTGCTGCATTATAAAGCTTTTAAAAAACTGTTTTTAATGTCTGTTTGTTGTCTGTCTTTGTCAGTGCTGTATGCTGTGCAGATACATTGTTTGTGATTTGCAATATTGCTCAATAAAACTGACTTGAATTGACTTGAACTAATACATAATAAATGAAAAACTACTAGTATTACGTCTAGTTTCATTATTATTATTCAGTTATCGTACATCATCCATATTATTGCTATGAACAATGGGTAATAGTCAGAGTAAAGTCTGGAGAAGTCTGCACCCCAAACAGACTCACTTAACACGCTATACAAACATATTTGTTTACATCCTGGGAAGTCTAGACATTTGAAATCAGAATAAGCAAATATCTACTTCCTTAAAGATTTGAATACATACAAACAGGATATGACTATGATGTGAGAGTGAAAGGCACAATGCCACAATCCTGATCAGGATCCACCGGTAAGTCTGTTCTATATTCTCTACATACTTCTTTTTAACAAACATAATACAGAGAACACACAGGAGATGGTTATAACATTACACTTGTTTATAAATTATATTCATGTCTATTCTAAATATCGGTCTGAAATCATTATTCATTGATTCATTCATGAAGAAGTAAATCATCTGTCATCCAACTTCTTTTTCTGACCTTTGTAACAGCTATGGGAGGGGTCGTACGTCTAATTCTCCTTCTTTCAGGTCAGTGTTAAGTTTCTTCTTTCTCATGAAATAGACTGACATTTTCTCACATCTGTTTGTCTTGCTCTATGAAAGCCAGAGTATGTTTAAGTTTTTTTATGTACTTTACAACAATTTGTGTAATTATTGGTTATTGTGCCATTTATTTTATTTTAAACTACCATCCTTGCATTGTCTGTACAGTATATTGTTACTGTTCAGATTTTTATTAACCCATATGCTCGACAAATAAATGTCAATCATTTGTTCCCATTTTCTCCAACAGGGCTGTGTTCTCTGTCCTCATGTGTGCCCCAGAATCGATATTACCTCTTCGTCAATACGCCTAAAACCTGGTATGAGGCACAGAGCTACTGCAGAGAGAAAGGTTTTGACCTGGCCACCATAGACAACATGGGAGAGATGGAAATAGGTCTTAAAGCTGTAGAGGGCAAATACAAGGATGCCGTGTGGATAGGGCTTCAGAAAGAACTGACTCGGAGGTGGCACTGGTCCCTGGCGGACAAAGATTTCTACAAGGAGGGAGAAAGAGACTATTTCATCCCAGATGGAACAGATTACAGCTGCTTGACTTACACAAAGGGGAAACCGTCTCCAGCTGGTTGTCCAAACAAGAAATATTCGGTTTGCTTTGATGGTGAGAGTCATTTATTTTGAATTGAATTGAATTCATTTGTGCACTGCAACTACACTACAAAAACACTATAACTGTGATTTATTTATTGAATTAGCTATTTTCTTTTCAGGTAAAAAACATGGTCGTGAACAGTATGTTCTCACTAACGTAGCCATGGCATGGACTGTTGCACGGGACTACTGCAGGGCTCATCACACAGACCTGACCAGTGTGAGGAATGAGCTGGAAAACCAGATAATTCAGGAAGTGTCCCGTAACCTGACGGTGTGGATTGGCTCCTTCAGAGATCCCTGGATGTGGTCCGACCAGACTTACTCTTCGTTCAGATACTGGAAAGAAGGCAAAGAAGTTTGGACTGATGATACAAAAAACTGTGTTGCTATGTTAGAAAGTTCATCTGGTAGATGGGGAGAAATTCCATGTAATGAAGCTCATCCATTCCTCTGTAACTATGGTAAAGCTCCTGTTTTACATTCTTTATACTCTTTTGGTTGAAGCATTTAATATCAGTTTAAAATTTGAATTACCCGTCATAGCTGGTTGTTTGTGATGTTCATAACCCCCGATCCCCCTTCTTTATTGTTTATTATCGCAGTTTATACTGATAACTGTGGAATATATATTGTAGGAAACTATTACATTTTGAAACTATCGGTTCTTGATTTCACACAGGACAAAAAAGGCTCCTTATTTCGATCCAGCGACTGTTGATTTTGGCAGCTAAAACCAGGAGTTCTGTTTTAGGGTCATCACCACGTGGCTTTTTTGGAGCCAGCGGTGGTGATGTACTAAAAGTTGAGCTGTGTGCTCATTAGTAGGAAACAATGGCACTGCCTAGTTTGACAGTTTGATCTCAGTTTTGTGCGGTGCGCTGCAATCTCACAGCTATTTTACTCTAAACGGAACAATAATTTACTAAATGAACATTGTGCTGCATGGAAGAAGACTTGAAACCAGCGATTGAGACCATAAACTCATTAGGAACCAGTTACACTAATAAATCAAATGAGAAGCAGGCTGATTTCCCCATAGAAGAGCATGCAATTGGTCTTTTATTGCAGCCAATGGAGCTGCCCCCTGCTGGCCATTACATAGAATGCAGGTTTAAGAAACTTCTGCATTAGCAGGACCTAAAACAGAAACACAGGCACTGTTTGGTGGAGGGGTTCAATTAAGAGCAACAGCTGAGTGTACATCTTCCTCTGTGGTGGGTTGTCACAGTGAATATAATTAAATGTGTCTGTGTTTTTGTGTCTCTTTAGCAGGTCAAGTTGTAAAGTTCATTAAAGTGAGGATCAGCTCAGAGGACTCAGAGTTGGATCTAAATGACCCTGTAGTGTATGATGACATACTGAAGCAAGTGAGTCTCACATTTAAATGTGCTGTCTGATGCAGAGATAACGTGAAACACTCCTGATGTCGTGAAGTGGGAAAAAGCTTTTAATTAGTTAATTTTCTCTTCTGTTCCTCAGGTCAAGCAAGACCTGAGTAACACGAATGTGACAAATCTACGATGGAGAAAGCATCCTGATGAAAGAGTTTTTGTCAAGGAACCAAACCGAGGTGGCTAAAGAGAGAGAGAGGAATCAGAGAAGCAGTTTTAACTCCAAACTGTTTCTATTGTGTGTTTGGTCATAAGTGACAAACCCACTAAGAAGCAATTGTACAGCTCTACGAAGTTTTTAGTTAGCTCATTGTTTTGGTTTTATCTCACATATACTTTGTGGTTTAGTGTCACTTCTCTCCTCAATCCTCTTTCCAGCAGCAACATGCAGCTTTTTTCCATTAACACTTCATGTCCATCATAAATGCTACGTTCCCACAGCACTAGAGGGAATAACAACAGCACATTAAGGTTAGCAAATAACGTAGGAGTCCCAGGAGTTCGTTGGAGATCTAAAAGGAAAATTGCATGAAAATTGTTTGTTGTTGTAACATGAAAGAAATGAATTAATGTAGCTTCTAGCAGAAATCAATGGAAGAATAACATTTTAGTTTTGAGGTACTTGTACTTGAATATTTCCTACTTTATATACTCATATGCTACCCTTTAGAAAGAGATATTGTACTTTTGTATTTCATTACATTTGAGATTTATCGTTAATATTTTACATACATAACATATAATCAGCTTGTAAAATATTGCTATTGATTAAACTATTCATAGGAGCATATATCCAATGAGCTCCACCTCAAAAAACACATGTATTCCTGCATTAAAATGTCTATGAACACTAGATCTTTGTTATATGTTTTGTGAGTTGTGTACTTACATTATCACAAATGTTTCCAACAAGTTCTGGAGTAATCTGTAATTTTATTCAGGTAACAGTGTGTTTGCAATTTGTAGTACGGGGTGGGATTCAGCAAACGTTTAATCCCACATACTGTGATTTGATTGGTTTATCTGTATAATCTGATAAATTTAATTGGTTGGGACTTGCAGCTAAAATAATCCATTCATGGCAGAAAAGGCCTTACTGTACAAAAACACAACTTTAAAACTCCAGTCACTGATGTGACAAAACTACATTGGGCACTGAAGTTTGATGAATGTATTGTTTATCAGACCACAAATAAGAAGAATTACTGGTTAACAAACAACAACAACAAAAAACAACATCTTTATTCACAGATTTTGGTGAAACTAGATCATATTTTATGGATTATTGAATAGGATTTCCCTCTAATGTCCTCTCTGCTCTACCTCAACTCTAGTTAATAAATGAACTAATTTAATCAGTACATAAGGCAAGTAATTCAGTCTATTGGCACTTATTTATTCCTGTTTTCCTAAGGATTTAAAGATTTCCAGGTCATTTATAAATGCCACAAACCTTGGAGGAATTAAAAATAAAACATTTTGCATAAAAACACCAACAAAAAACAGGTATTTCATTCTTTAAAACAATAACAGTAACATGCTTTCTATCCCACAATATCTTAACAACATTACAGGTGTAGAAAAGATGTTTTATGAGCTATGTTTAGATAAATGTGCATACATTATAATATATAATGTATAATGTATGTATATATAATATAATAAACCTGAATAAGAAGAACTCATACATGTGTTTCTTTTTCGGCATGAACTTTCTAGACTTCCGTGGATCTGACCATTTTAGCGACAGAACAGGAGGGGTGTGACGGCTCTTGTGATTGTGCAAATTATTGTGTTTTAGCTGTATATAACAAATTTTATTGTGATATATCCTGTATATATTCATCAAAACACCCTTAATCAATTATTTTGTGAACAAAATATTTGAGCTTTCCGTCTGAATTCGGACTTATTTGGGTGTTTTTTCGGCTGTAACCCCCGCCCCTGCTGACAGCACGGAGTGGTACATCCCAAATGACAGCTCGACCCTTCACGCAAACGTCGAAAAGACGACATTTAATGAAGACCCTCTTCTCTAATACTGCTCCCTTATAGTCTAAACTCCAACTATTAACCAGCAACATGTCTGCACCGAAGAAGGGAGACTTGTCTTCAAGCGAAAAGGAGTTGTTTGAGGTTATCACGGCAGGTAAGCCTCTTCGGCTAACGCTAATCCCCCTAGACAGCGGTTAGCTCTTCTTATAAGTTCTTATATATCTTAATATATGTGTGTATATGTGTGTGGTAAGTTAGGTTACAGATATTTAAACACAACGCCAATGTCCTAACACTTGTTAAATGGTAGCAGGATGGTTTTAAATGTGAGGCTGCATGTTAAGGCTTGGTGCTAGCTGACGTTAGCTTGCGTCCACCTGCAGGATAACAAGTTTAAAAAAAAAAAAAGTCTGTGTTTGTATTCAGGAGAGTGTTTGTGCTATGTTACATTATATAACTGTTAAAAGTCATGATGCAATCCTTTTAATGATCCCAGACCCAAACAAAAAGAGGTGTGTTGACCCTCTGGATGTGCATTATTGTGGGTAAAGTTTGTGTTTATTCTGTAATGATGTTGGATTTCATGCTCTTAGGAAATGTCCAAGAGGCCTCCAGGCTGCTGGGCTGCAAGGATGTTCGAGTCAACTGTTTGGATGAGGTGACAGATGACTTTAATTACGCCTAATTTATAGATTTAAAGACATTTTGACAGCCCTCAAAGGCTTTTCTTCTACTGCCAGTGTAGCTTATTGCATTAAAAGCCTGCTGTGAGTTTTTAAATCTGTTTTTACAAGGTTGTAGACGGCAGCCAGGAGTGAAATATCTTGTGGTTCATCCTTAAAGCAACGATGCATTATGTTTTACTATTGGATTCATTTACCTATATTCATAGCTTCTGTTGATTATAAAATGTTTTTCATGTTTTTCCGGCATCAAATGAGAAAAACAACCGCGTACGTCTCTCAAAGTGTCAAATATAACAAACCAAGGCACCAGTCGAGGCTTGTTTAGGTGCATTTCAGCACTACAGTTTTAGTTTTTGTAGATAAGAAAACCTACTAAGCCCTTTTACCACAGCTCTTCTTTTGTTTAAGGACATGTGTGGGTCAAGAGGACTTGTGAGTCACCACACTGAAGGGCTTTGGAGAAGGTCCTTAATGTCCTTCCCTCCATCTGTCACTCCGCCTGTCAAAATCAGGTGTTTGAAAACGGATGTTGGGTTATGCAACGGAGGCTATGTCAGTGTCTGTTTATGTGAGAGTGAAACTGTCAGCGTAAATCACTTATAATGTCTGTTTTGTCTCATTCGACAGTATGGGATGACCCCTCTCATGCACGCTGCTTACAAAGGGAAAGCAGACATGTGCAAGTTGCTGCTGCAACACGGAGCGGATGTGAATTGCAATGAACACGAGCATGGATACACGGCGCTGATGTTTGCTGGCCTGTCAGGTACGTAGTCAATGTAACAGGTCAAATACTGAAAATGTAAAGAGTTGATCGTCACAGCAATATAATTACTCTGTTACTTTGTTACGTCCCTCCCTGTATGTGTTGTGACTCCTCTTCCTCTGTGCCTGCAGGTAAGACTGACATCACGTGGATGATGTTGGACGCGGGGGCGGAAACGGACGTGGTCAACTCTGTCGGAAGGACCGCCGCACAGATGGCCGCCTTCGTTGGTACGTCTGGTTGTGACATGCGCTCATTCACACAACAGCGCAGTGTGTGAATCAGAGATTGTTTTCACACCGGTTACATCCTAAAGCACAAACGAACTGTAATCAAACAAGCGTCTTGATGTTCTGAACCCTTGCAAGTCTTTAGGAAATGGAAAAATATGCACAGTGCAGTTCTTTTTGAGTGGATTAAAATAGTTCCCACACTGACTTGTCTGTGAGTTGTTGTTAAATTTGACTTTTGTACATGTTCCTCTTTAACCGGTCTGCAGTTGGTGAAAGAGCCGAGGTTTCTTGGTTTGATTAAAAATGAACCTCCTCCTCTTTTCCCTCCTCAGGGCAACACGACTGCGTCACCGTGATCAACAACTTCTTCTCCCGCGCCAGACTGGATTACTACACCAAGCCCCAGGGGTTGGAGAAGGAACCTAAGCTGCCTCCCAAACTGGCCGGACCCCTCCACAAGGTCATCATGAGCACCAACCTGAACCCTGTCAAGGTAGGACTCCACTAGACAGGGCACGGTGGTTTGAAAGAGGTTGTAATAAAGTAATTGTTTTGTAAATATGTGTCCAGATTATCCTGCAGCTCCCTCATCCAGCCATCCTCTGTGTCCTTGTAGATTTGTGGGAAATACTAACATTAGAGAAATATTCATCGTCGATATGAGTGGTTCTTCATCCAAACGCACCAGCTGCCAATTTCACTGATTATGTTCCTTGTATATATGTGGGAAGGGGACAAGTAATCAGAGATGCAATCATGTGCTGCTGTGATTAGTTAGGTTGGAAACCAGCATGCACCATGCACAAGAGCACAAAGTGAGGTTTCATTTGTGCCAAAAATAGTCTACTTCAGACTGCTTTGTGCAGCGTGTTTGTGGACGTCTGCTATCACTGCCTACTGTCACGGCTAAAAAGGGTTTTACTCTTGTAGTGTCTCTTGGGCCGGCAGTCTGAGATCCCTGTGTTAAAGAGATATACTACCTACCTCATTATAAAGTGTATGTCAAAAATCTTCAGTCTCAAGTTATACCTTTAAAATTGATCAACCTTTTCCTTTGTTATACTTTTGAAATTCAAAGTCTAAAATGTGTTAAATTGTGTAGAATTATACAATATAAGGTTTTATATTTAGTAATAATTTATATCCTGGAATTTTAATGCTAAATGGTTAAGAATTAATTAATTGCCAATTAATAAAGTGGCTGAACTTCACTTTCTGCAGTCTGCTATTAATCCAGGAGTAGAAGAATGAAATGTTTTTGTTTTTTGACTTAAGGGCTGCAGCTAAAATAGGAAATCCTTGAGTATATGTGCTATTTTTGCTCATTTAATTACAATTCAAAACATAACTAGTCACTGTGGAAATGTGTTATGGGTGCGTGTCATTATCTTTGACAACTTTATATACTAAATGTATATGATAAGTAATTAAAAATAATAGTTGTGGGTGGATGATGTACTTTACGACAGGGAACGACAACAAATACACATCACTAGGACCGTTTTATTTTGAAGGAGTAGATTTTTGTCTGAAATGGAACCTAAAAGCGTCTCTTGCGTGTTGTAGATGGTGATGCTGGTGAAGGAGAACCCCCTGCTGGCGGAGGCGGAGGCTCTGGAGAAGTGTCGCCGGGTGATGGAGCTCATCTGTGAGAAGTGCATCAAGCAGCAGGACATGAACGAGGTGCTGGCCATGAAGATGCACTACATCAGCTGCGTGCTGGGGAAGTGTGCCTCCTTCCTCAAGGACCGCGAGGACAAGCTGGATGGCCTCATCAAAAGGTGATGCCACGTGAGATATTAACTAAGGATTTGTGGCCCCTTTTTTAAGGCCCTTAACAGCCAAATTCTCACCACATTGAGAGTTTTATGCAAGTGGAAGTGTGGAGGGAATGGAAATGTTTACAAATTACTGCTGCACCGGATTTATCACTGCAGACTGACAACTGTGCGCCCAGCTAATTCTTTTCCGTGAGTTTCTACAGCTCCTAGACAATCATCACATCTAAAAATACCAATGCCGGGAGAAAACAAAGCACCAAGTATCCATCTTTTGCATAGTAATCAAGTACATGTGTAATGTATGTGTATCATCAATATAGTAATGACTTCCATTTAGCCAAAAAATACACTTGTATCCCTTTTTTTATTTTATTTAATTCCTTCCAAGTATTCCCATATATTATGAGTCTGGACAGACGGGTATGTAAACTGCAACCAGGGGACTTCAATTAATGGTGAAAAGATGCTCTGTGCAGCATTTTAAGGTTTTTAAGCAACAGTTAAAGGAACGTCCTGGGTTTTGATGTCTGTTGAGATGAATTGCATTATAAAAGCTTCCCTAAAATGTTCGATCTACTCAATCCCTGTCCCGCAGTATGCTGAAGGGCCGAGACAGCGATGGCTTCCCCGTGTATCAAGAGAAGTTTATCAGAGAGTGCATCCGCAAGTTTCCTTTCTGTGACGCTACTCTGCTGCAGCAGCTGGTGCGGAGTATCGCTCCTGTGGAGATTGTGAGTCTCTGATTGTGATTCTCATCTGAATGTGAAACTTTCTGTCTTAGTGGTGCAACACCTAATCTTTTTTTTGCCTTTTTCCATCATCGCAGGGCAACGACCCCACAGCTCTGTCAGTGATGACTCAGGCCATCACAGGTCAGGTCGGCTTCATGGACGCAGAGTTTTGTACCTCCTGTGGAGAGAAGGGAGCCGAGAAGAGATGCTCCATCTGTAAAATGGTGAGTGTCAACACGGCCGTAATATATCAGCTTACATGTTGGAGTCTTTTCTCATTTGCAAACGGTTTGTTTTTTAAGCTGTGACTTCTCAGCAGTAAACCGTTTAAAAAAATCTTCCTCCATTTCTGGGGCTTCATTAGATAGCGAGAGTGGAAAGAAAACGGGAAATGAGGGAAAGAGAGATGGAACAAAAGTTTATTTAGGCCAGATATTTGTTTTCATCCACAAAAAAGAAAACTAGAATTCTACAAAGAATGAAACAAAGCAAAATGCACTGTCAATTTAAAGCTGTGAGGGTTATTTCTTCTGTCCTTTGTTTGTGGCTTTTATTTAATTACATGTTCGTTCAAATAAACTAAACCTTTTTTTGGCTTTAGGTGATCTACTGTGGCCAAGCCTGCCAAAAGATGCACTGGTTCACTCACAAGAAAGTTTGCAAGATACTTCAAGAGCAGAGAGAGAAGCAGGAGGCCGAATCAGCCAAACTGAGGATGCAGCAGAGCACAGGTACTTCATCTATCTCAGAGACCAAATATGACACAGAATAAAACAATACTACAGACTGAACACTCATCCCACACACAGAGTACCATTCAAAGATTGTTACAGGACAAGAGGTGATTGCCTCATAGTTAAACCGCGTAGAAAGATGAGCAGCGTCTACAGGAAAACTCTCGCAAATTGTCTTTAGTCCCCGTGATGGATGAAACCATCACTGGAACTGGGAAAGCATATTTTTGAGGTCTCTTAGGTAAAAGTTATGATGCTCTGAAGGTTTTAATTTCTGAGCATGAATCTGTGCATGTCTTTTGAGTTGGAAATATTAATGAATAACAAATGGAAATTATCAGTATGTCTTTTATGAAAAATGAAAATGTAAGATATCTGCTTAAAAGATATAAAAACAAAAAATTTTCTGAAGGACTGCGTTAGTTTTAAACTGCAGTTATCAGTGTCCCAATGCGGCAAGAAACATAAACTTTAGGATGCATGTGGACATAAAATCCAGTTGAAATAATTTTTTAAGCATTTTTTATTATTATTGTTTTTTGGTAAAAATGTGAAAGAACTGAAAACAACGAGCCTTCGAATTCTATTGGAATGATGTTGAATCCTAAATATTAAATTACATTAAAACGTCCTCACACAAATAGTTTTCTTGTGCGGGTTTGTCGGGAAGTAAAGTTCATTAAACCAACGAGACTGAGCAGCTCGAACCTCAGATGTCTTGATTCTGTTGTTCCGAGTATAAAAAGACCTCACCACGCTGTCTCCGTGTTTCAGAGGAAGCGTTGCAGGAGACCACAGACTCCATGCAGGAGCTCTCAGTGGAGACCAACAGCGAGGTCGTCCCCTCAGACTCAGAAACCTCAAACTCCACTCCCATCCCAGCTGCTGACAACTGAGGACCGTCTGACAGCCAGCAACCGCCTACTCCAGAGTACACCCATACACCACAGACGGACAGACAGACAGCAGACCGGCAGTGAGACTGAAAGCCAGACAAGGACTGGTCCATATTTATTATCGAGACTGTCACAAAGGCAGGGAGACACTAAAGCGTACGAGGGAGCTTTGTGCCACAGCAGTCATCTTTTGTGTCATTTTTATATGTTGATTTTTTTTTTTTTTTCCAAATATTGTCATAATGTGAATGTGAAAATTACATAGGCTGATGTGTTTGTGTGGTAGAGGTCACTGGGAGGAATCGTGGGTAACACGTGAAGAGCTAAAAAGGTTCACATCGATGATGGAACGTAATTCTGCCTTAAGTAACCGTAGCAACCTGTGCAGGAAGGAAGTGACCGTGTAGCCGATCAGAGCTGTTTGTTTGTTTGCAATATACTTGATGTGTTATCGGGGACGTTTGTTTTGTACCGAGAAACCTCCCGGCGGATTGTGAGCGGAGAGCACGGCTGCACAATATTGACCAAAAATGTATATTTTTAAATATAAACAACATAAACGTGAATTTATTTTTAAGCGTATCATGAAAGATGATGTTAATGCTCAGGATTTTCAAGCATTGTTGTACACAGCACAAAAACATCTCGTCCATGACCAAAAAAAATGAAAGTGGTTTGGTTTTGATATTCTTTAATTTATTGTGCAGCCTGAACGGACAGAGACGTTGAAGTCAAACGACCGGTCCAGCGAGGCTTTAGTTTGTCCTGAATCATTTCTGATATGTCAAAACAACTTGAGCTTCATCACATTAAATAAAGACCAACTTCATCAAAGTGCCCATTCATCATGCTGAGTTTTGGAGTTTTCTGCTCTTCATTTTCCTTTTATCTCTTTATTATCTCTGAGTTACAAGTTATTGCAATCTAATACAGCATCCCTACAACAACCCCCCGGTGACTCCACTTCCACTATATACTATATTCCCATGTTGTTTTCTCTTATTATTCTTTGCCGTACTTTGGTTTGGGGAATAATTGTGCTCTTAATTTTGGAACAGTTATCAGAATTTGGGGGATGTAAAGAGCGACACATAGTAAATGAGGACACTATTATCTGCATCTGTACGGGTGGTGCTTAAACCGGATGTGGACTCACTTGAGCCTGAAATTGATATGGATTGATCAGAAGTTGCTTTATGTTTTAGCAAAGTATTTACAGAGTTTTTTTTTACCGGATACTCGTTTCAGCCGAGTACTCGCTCAATCCAAGTAAACAGGAAGAATAATGTTGCCATGGAGACAATGAGCTAGCTGTGGGCTACAACCTGAGCTCCTTTTTTCTTTTTCTTTTTTTTTGCAGATATTTGTTTACATTGTGGCTAATTGTCACTATTACAGGTACGCAGAAGTAGCTGTCAGCAGTGCCTGTTTGCAGTGTACACATGGAGGTACAGACTACGAAGATTTGTTTAGTTAAATGTTAGAACTTAGGCAAATTCAGGAGTTACAGGGAGCATCTGCTTTCTGTTATTTCCAAGTAGGGTTGCAAGGGTAGAAAATGTCACAGTATAATGGTATTACACAGTTATTATCATCAGATACAATGACCCTTTAAAGATTGAGAACAGATGGGGGGTTGATGTTTTGGTTGAAATAACACTAATACAGTAGAATTAAATACTGTAGAAGAGCCAATGTACACAGTATGATAACAGTACATTTTCATACCACGTATACCACGCTATCAGAATACCACAACCTGTGTTTGTGTTCTCGTGTCTGTGTGTTCAGATGTGACTGATGATGTGACTGTCAGGCATTGCTCCAGCTGACCATACTGATAAACAGGCCAAAGTGCAACAACTAACTTCCCGTTTTAACAGGACAGCGCCGTGCACCTGTCACACAGTATCTCTGTCTCACATCTCCCCCTCCTCGGATTAGTGTTTCTAATATCCCTCATACAGAGAGCCTCAAGCAGAGATGAGGAGCGGGCTACAGGTGTGCCAAACTCACTTCTTTCTAACTCCACACACCCAGATATTCATTTTATTTTCCAACTTGCAGCCACATGAGGTTTTATTCAACTTCCCCAACACCTGCAAACAGACTTCGATGTACTAGGGGGTTCCCCTTTATATGGATTACACTGCTTATGGACTGTAATGTGTTTTGTCTGATCATTATAAAGCATCGTGAGCACACTTTTGCACCGTGTATGAGGAATATTTGCTCTCAGCTTGTGGACTACATTGCTCGTCTGCAGAAGCCCACAGACTGGAGGACGCGATGACGCTCCTGGCTGTAGATCTGGAAGGACCTCCTCCTCTCCGCTGACTTCACCTCTGACAACACAGCAGGCAGAGACCATGGTAACGGAAACATTTAACAAAGTACAAGCCACACACCAGAAGCATTTTATGATCATAGATCTTACCTCTTCTATCTAAAACCCGGATAGATGGCAGGCAGTGGATCACATGGTGGCGATACCCAGGCTCATGGGAGATGGGATTGAGGAAAAAAGCTGCAAAGAAGCCCTCATTTCTTTTACAAGAATCCAACAAATTACACACACAGTCTCAGTTTAGCGTATAATCTTGTAAATATGGGCGCTCTTTAGCACAGCAGGTGTACCCTGACTGAGTTTCATCACTCACTTGCAGTTTGGAGCTGCTGCATCTTCCTGAGCTCGTGCATCGTGTCCTCCAGCCCTCTGATCTGGTTGTTGTGGAGAAAAAGAAGTCGGAGGCAGGTCAGATGATTTAGGGCCCCTGTACGAGAGACCAATCGGGATCAGTTCAGTTTATTATATTCTATTCAAATCTTGTCAACGACAAGTCAGGACTGCAACAAAATCCATAAAATGTATGTGTCATCTTTAAAAGTACACTGAAACCAGAGTCTGAAAAGTCAATACTAAAGATCAACCTCACATCTCTTACTCCCACAGGCCAGTAAAAACATTTTAACACCTTTTATTGCCATATTCAATGGCGTGTTATCATCAAGGTTAGAGGAGCATTACATTTATTTTTCCAGCTGATGTCCAGGAATTTGTCTAGGAATTTAATTTCACCTTGAGCCACCTATTGCTTTTGACATTATCTTCACATTCAGAGGAGAAATGAATAGAAAAAAAGATCACCAGAAATAGACTTGATGTTGTTATTGTGGAGGTAAAGTTCAGTCAAGCAGCAGTTGAGGGAACGACAGTTGAGCTCTCTGATCTGAAAGATTTGAAATAAAAATAAATGTCACTCAATTTTAAACTTAAAAGATCATCCTGTTGCTGAAATACACAAAGCTTTACCTTGTTGTTATTCAGCCACAACTCCCTCAGAAAGTGAAATCTTGATAAGTCAGGCACGCCGGGGAGCTTTCTGTTCAGCAAAACAGAAAGAAATTGTAATCTCTGTCTAACGTTAGATTTGTGAAATGACATAGTATGAATCTCAATTTCCCTGCAGCTGCAGTGAAAGCTGCAGATAAATCTGTTTTAAATACCCCATAAAGATGTGTCTTACCTTTTGGTGAGGCTGAGATGGCAAACATCAACGTCCCTCCTTATTCCACTCTTCTGAAGGGAGTGCTTTATGTCCTGTGTTTAGGGTGAGAGAGAAAGAAAATACAAACAGATTAATGTGTCTTTGCTATCTGGGCTTTTAAAGGTGTTTGAGATCAACTTGTCTACCTCAGCCACCTCCATTGTCTGTCACCTTTGGAGTTTCACACCTGTTGCCAGGAGACTCCTGTTGTCGTTGAAATCACAACAAACAAAAAATAATATTTTTATTTATATTAATATTATACACGCTTGTTTTACGTTGGTTTGTCTTTCATGCATATATTGAGGTAGATTTTCTGTTGAATCTGGAAAAGATTAGTGATTAAATAGCTGCATCCCTCATCTGCAGTGGAGGCAAATGTCCAGCAGAGGGCAATGTTTCCCCAAACTTGAATGTTGGTTATCAGGTTTGTTGCTATTGTGGTTCCTAATGATGTGCAACAGAAACCCCAAAATATTTTCACTTTCCTTGAAAGTCAAACAGCTGATTTCACTGATACACACTTTTAATCAGAGACAGAAATCAGTAAAAGAAGTTGGTGCAGCAAAACAGTTTTTCCCTTTAATTGTCACATAAATTAACTTGGTGCATTTATTAATTACTACTGTAATTTGAGCAGTTGATTTGAGTATTTAGAGTTTGGTAGACTTTCTACTTTTCTTCCACAACATGTCAGAGAGAATTATTGTACTTTTTGTTTCCTGACATTTATGTAACAGCTGTACTTGTTACTACTTTAGATTAAAATATTTTTGGGGAAATACACGTAATCGCATTCTTTCCGAGAGGAAGATGAGAAGATACCACTCTCCTGTCTCTACATAAGGAGCTGGCTTATTTTAAAGACTGGGGCCAGGGACAAATAGCTGGCCTGACATTATTTCAAACAAGCTGTATCACCAATAAACACATTTTATCTTGATTGTTAAATATCTACACAAACAGAAATGTAAAAAAAGCAATTTGTGGTTTTAGAGGGAGTTATGTGCTGTAGTAATTTCTTGATCAACCACAGTTTATCCATACACCCAGCACATCTGCGTAGCAACTGTGGACGCAGCACATAATTCCCTCTGAAACAACAAATTGTTCATTTGTACATTTCTGAACTACTAAACACAATGTGTTAATTAAAGGGAGACGGTTCACCCCAAAATCAAAAATACATATTTTTCCTCTCACCTGTGGTGCTGTTTATTCAACTAGATTGTTTGGTGTGAGTGTCTGGGTTTTGGAGATATCAGCCATAAACAAATGTTACTCAAGATAATCCACATATATTGTTGTGAGCAGTTCCATGAAGGAACTATTTTCTTTCTACGTATAACTATGCAGAAGGAAGCGTGTATTTACTCATGGATGAGAGGCTCGTGCTCGTGACAGCGCAGGATGTAACCATTAATGGCATCCTCCTCGGCTGAGCTGTGACTTTAGCTAGCTCAAAAAAGCGTGCTTCCTTCTGTGCTGTGATACGATTGGTGGATGTAGTTCACTAGAAAGAAAATAGTTCCTACATGAAACTGCTCACAACAAGGTCTGAGGATTATTTTGAGTTACCGCGTCATTGCTGTTATGTTTTTCAAATGTGTTTTTTTTTGGGCGTTTTGATCACCATGCCATCTGGTTCCATGATCCTGTGTGGATCCTGATTAATATAAACTGGAAATGAATATATACTTCATAATAAATTGTACTTAAAGGAGCAGTATGTAGGATTTAGTGGCATCTAGTGGTGAAGCTGCAGATTGCAACTAACTGAATACCGATCATGTCTGTATTTGACGACCTGGGAATGTGAACGAGAAGTGTTTAGGAGAAACTACAGTGGCCACAAAATTAACAAAAAACGCGAACGGCCTTATGTACAGTCAGTGTTTGATTTGTCCATTCCAGGCTACTGTAGGAGCACGGCGGTTCAACATGGCGGACTCCATAGAAGGCGACCTGTCTGTAGATAAAAAATGCTCATTCTTAAGTTACGAAAATACAACAGTTCTTATTTTTAGGTGCTTATACACTGATGAAAACACACCTCTGCATTTTCTATTCAATATTCCATTCTTTTATATTTATAGATCCTCTTAAATGTTGCACACTGGACCTTTAAGTAAATGTATTTGTTACTTTCTACCCCTGAAAAGTACCATTGATTGTCAATCTCAGGGAATAACAGACACCGTCCTCCATGTCTTCAGTTGGGATCTTTGCCAAACTCCGTTGCCACAATGACCTTTCTTTCTTGGCTTTGTTCCAGGTGTTGTGCATTCCTTTTGTTCCCCTCCGGTCGCCCTCGCCACACCTCCCATTACTGCATGTGGGCGCTTCCTGATCACGCACACTCTCCTGCCATGCTGCTTGTCAATATGCTATTAACCCAGCCACCTTTCATTTCCCATGAGGGTTAGGGGCAACCGAATTCCGGCTGCTGTTGAGTTTCACTGTTGCTCCGTGTGTGCACCGAGAGGGAGTCAGCTCTCAGCTTTCTGATTCTTTACATAGTGAGAGCACAAAAGCAGGGGCCTATCATATTCACTCTTCCGCATTCATTTAACCTGGTCCTATAAGAAGCTCGGGGTGGGGGGGGGGGAGGTGTTGAAGTGTAAATAGTCTTCTGAGAAGAGCCGGCCATGTTGTCCTTTATTTTCTGTCGGAAGTGGAGTGAATGAGCCTCTGGTGTCCCCTGTTTGAGGAAGAACAAAAGAGAGAGGAAACAATAACAGAAACTGAGTGTGAAGTTTAATGGTAGCCTGGGTTCACCTGCTGAGGAGATTTAAAACCAGAGGCAGGAAGGAACAATTACATGTTAAAGCTCCGGTACTTCTATTCCTCAACATCTTTCTGACGACAGTTACTCGTTACTTTGGATGTTTAGAGTCGTTCACTCATCTCCGATCAAAGATTAGCAACAGTTAAAACTAGAAAAAGCAAACTATTTTTTCCATATCATACAAGCTCTGACCCTGCTGTACAATGACAATGCTGCTCCTTAACTTCCATGTCTTATACACAGATGGCAAGGATGCTAACTTTTTGCCTGGGACATGGAGTTTTAGCCTCAGTCTTCTACTGCAATGTCACATATGAAGCCATCAAGTGCACATAAAGCAGCTGTTATGAGATTCTTGTTTTAAGTCGGCTGGAAAACATTAAAAGTGAGCTGGGAACATTGTTTTTAACCAATTTATTGAGCTAATTTTAGCTTAAATAGGTTGCTGTGTGATAAAATCTGCTCTTCAAAGTAATAATTTATTCAGCAAAATCCCTATCTGCTGGCAAGAATTGAGCCTGCTCTGCCTCTGTGAATTGTGAACTAAAAGTTTGAAATAACAGTAATAATAAAAATGTAAATGAATGATTTCAGTGGTAAATCTGCCACATTATCACTGCAAAACTGTATTTGTGCATCGACACAACAGAAAGGTTGAGTGGCGTACAACAATAACTGAGACTATGGAAGGGTTGCTTAGCAAACGGAAGAAAATAAACTCATCAAATATACTAAATGGAAAAAAGTATGTGGACACCTGAACCAAATGAGATTGTTAAACATTTCATTCCAAAACTATGGGCTTTAATCTGGTATTATAAGAGCCCTGGCCTCCATTCTTTTAGTTTTAGGGGCTCTACAAGTTTTTGGAAACTGGATACAAGACAGTCAGGTCAGACACCTGGTGTTGCGCAATAAGGTCTAGCTTGTGATTGGCGTTTCAGTTCATCCCAAAGGTGATGGATGAGGTTGAGTTCAGGGCTCTGTCAAGTTCTCCCATACCAACCTGGTTGGTTTCTTTGAGAACCATGTTGACACAGGAAGGAGCCAAACACAAACTGCTGACACAAAGTGGAAAGAACACTGTCTAAAGTAACATTGTATGCTGTAGCATTAAGAGTTGCCTTCATTGGAAATAAAGGGGCTCAAACCATAAAAAAAAGCCCCAGACCAAAAGAACCTTTCTACCTGTCCCACTTTTTAATTTTATTTTATTTTTTCAACTTCTTTTCATTAATCTTCCTCCTTTCCTCCCCTTTTAACCTTCCTTCTTACTCGTCTTCCTACCTTCATGTTTTCTTTATTTCTTTCCTAAATTATTTCTTTCTTTACTTCCTGATCTGAAATCCTGAAAATAACCAAAATTCGTGGGATGATATTTCCAAGTGACTGCAAAAATAAACTCTTGCTTTTCTTCACAATGACCACTTTGAATACTTGAATACATTTTGCAAATATGTATTTTTCCCTATACTCTTATTTTTAATAGTTATTTGTAACTGTGTGTGCTCCATCTGTGTGTTCCATCACAACCTTTCACTCAGGAGAAGGAGCACACATCCTCGAGCCTGTACTCCGCTCTCCATCCTGAAAAAGGTGCTCGTGTGATAATAAAACCCACAAGTGATCTGCGTATCGGCTTTCATTCACACGAGCAACAATTAGTGTCTCTGCATGACGCCTCTTTTCAAATCAGTAAGACAAGCCTGGATTGAATGTTGCCCACAAAAGTAATCATATCTCTCCTTGTTTTGTGCAGCGGACGCACACAAGACTCCAGTTAGTCTGGGCACTCGAATCATTAGACGGGTGACTGACAGGGATTGAGAGGTAAAGCAGAGGGAGGATGGCATAGACAGACAGCAAATTACACACAGACAATATCAGCTTTCATTCTTGAATTAAACGTGTGCCTGAGAGAAGGCAAGTCACAACGTGGAGGGTATCCAATATGAGAAACTAACCAGAAGGTAGAACGTGAGTTGGTGTCTTAGATCATCAGCTGTGTACACATGTATGATTAATGCTCCATCACTACTGAAGACGGTGGTTAATAATGAGCAGCTGTGGGCTGGATCAGGGTCGTATAATGTTTGCAGTAATTTGTCTGACACACATGATAAAACAACAGCTTTCAGAGGGGTCAGACTTTCAGAGGAAACTTAGTGAAATTGCTCGGTAATTGATGGCTCATCAGAGTTTTTCCGCATCTGGTTTTTGGCTGGGTTGATTTGTTTAATTGAATTTAAAGGCTTTGTCTGAGAACAGTGATGTATTAGACCTATTTCTATTACTGTCCCTATAGACTGCATAATTAAAAATGGTCTCCATGATGTCCCCCCACAGGTTTCTGAAGAGCCGTCCTGACTCCGCCGGCTCATCCATAAATGGGCAAAGATGTGCAGCATGGGTAGAGAGCTGAGGGCTGGATGAACAGCCACCTGTCAAAGCGCCCATGCCCTTAATTATGCATAACTTTAAGCATTAATATAATTGTAACGAGTGAGTTATATAAACATTTCCCACCGGTACAGTTGTCATGAACGGGGAATTTAGCTATAGAGTCGGAAACCGTTTGTGTACCAGGCTGTAAACATGTTTATTTCTGCTGTAAAGTTGGTCATTTTAATATTGGGCCTTATGGAGACCGACTCACTTCTGTAATCAGCCTCAAGTGGCCGATTAAGGAACTGCAGTTTCTGTTACTGGTTTCATTTGCAGCCACAGAGGTTGCTGTTTGGTTGTCCCTGTGGTGTTTTCACGGTCCAGTTGCCTTCATTAAAATGGAGACATGCATTCAGTGTTTGACAAAACAAATTCAGAAACTAAAAACTGGAAAACTGAGTCAAAAAAGCAGACAACCACGTGTATGATATTGTTCAAGGCACAAGTTATTTTGTATGATTTGTCTTAATTAGAACATGTTTGTTGTATATTCTTGCTTAATAAACTCTACAAACTCTAGCATTCAATAGACAGACAGACAGACAGACAGAGAGCTGGTTTTCACCTGACAGAGAAACTACACTACTGTACTTTTATTTTGAAGAACAAAACACACATTAAGCCACACAATATTTGCTCTTGTTTGTATGTGATCAGAGAGGCAGGCATGCCAAATTTACCACTATACCATCAACAAGACACATGTAGAAAGGTTTAGCAAACTTCTCACTGGTGGTGCCGTGAGACTTCATACACACTTTCACTCCTCACAGCTCGAGCAGCGGCAGCTTTGATTTTTCAGTTTAGTGAAGGAGGGAACAATTTCCTCACTTACTTTCCCCTCAGATTGAGCTAATGGATTCAAACAAGCAGGAAGATTCTGGTCACAGCAGCTCAGCTACGGCGATGACAGACTACTTAATAATTTATATGAAAACCAGAGGGATGGGAGGAAGAAGCTACAGTACAAACCAAACTCACTCAGCATCACAACAGGCCTGACAAACAACAGTTTACTGCAAATATTACTTTAAAACTAGAGTACCAAAGCTGACACATATCTCCCCAGCTGCATAAAAATCTGATTTAAGTTTTAAATCAGTTTTGAAAGCTGGCGTTAAACTGCCAGACCTGGACAAACATAGATCCAGGTCTTTGTTGTTATTTTATGAGTCTAAAATATATTTATGGAGCTCCAAAACAATGTTGTTTGAATGTGATTTTATTTTTTATTTAATGTGTATTTTCTTATCCATTGTGTTGTGTTATATCTGGAGTTGCTGTAGCGAGTGATTTTCCTCAGTGTGGCATCAATAAAATCTGTCTTATCTTATCTTAAAACACTGTTTCTGTCTAATTTAAAATATAGAAACTGCTGCATTCCCAAACATAGACCAAAAACTAATGTTGACCTGAGTTCTAATAATTTTTTCTACAAGCCTACAGTTTAGGGTTTTTTTTTAAAAGTATTTGCCTCTTTCCTGCCTTCTCTACAGTGTGAAGGAACATATTCTTCCAAACTGTCATCCTCATATTTCACTCAGAGATTCATTATTCAGATATTTAATACAATAATAAACAAGTTTAAGCCCAATTAATCTGCAGTGCGTGATTACAGGAATTCTCCAGTGACCTTATAGGTTTACATTGTCTGGTGCCTAAAACGATCAAATCTTCCACTTTTTGAGTTCCTATTTTTTTGTATTTCTCTTCATCTTGATAAATGTTGACAGAACGTAAAAACAATGGAAATAAATCCATGATTTTATCCTCGAAGAAATCTGATGTATTTTATAAATATATCAGAATGTTGTAAATGAACCAAAACAAACTACAAAACCCACGTGTTAATGAGCCAATGACTCAGGCATGTAATCCCATCATCATCATCATCATCATCATCATCATCATCATCATCCATCATATGGATGTAGGCATCAGCATCCAGGATCAAATTTGAAACTCTCCAAAATAAAAGCAGTGGGCGGGGTTATCTTACGAGCGTACATTCGTGACGACCAATCAGAGCCTCCCAACAGACACGCACCTGAGTATCTGCCAAAGCGAGAGGCGGGCCGGCTCTATAAAAGCCCGGGTCTCACATGTACTTCACCCAGCATCAGTCTACTTCAAGTCGGACCTACATCTCACCCCCCCCGAAAACCCCCACACCTCCCTCTTTTCTCCGAAGCAAGCATGCACCTGAGCGCGTACGAGTCGTGCCATTCCTTGGTCGTACTTTGCATCCTCCTGAGGAGTTGCCAAGCCCTGAAGAACGACGCCACGGAGCTCCTGTTCTCGCATGTGAGCGCGTCGGTGCCGGTGCCGGAGGTTCAGAGCAACGTGACCCTGAACCGAGCACGGAACGGCGGGAGAGGAGCGGCGGGCGGCGCGGCACACGACAGAGGCGGTGAGTGAGGAGGACCGGAGGATGCTGTCAGTATAGGGGACTGTAACGGGTGTGCGTGGTGCTCCAGGATGAGTTACAGACACCGTATTGAACTCTTTTAGGAAGCTGTTCTGTTACTAATGTAGAATATTTGTCTATGACCTTTATTTCCCGGGGTTATCTGGGCGTAATTTGCATGACATTAAACAGTTGTGGTATTTGACTACTGGTATCTAGGATGTGGCAATGGATTACTGTGGTCTAAGTACCTATTTGTAGTAGTTTATGTAGAATAAGGACCGGGAGGAACAGAAGCTTGCAGAAAATGCATTTAGCCCAAGATGTTGCATCTCCAGTTAACTTTTTTTTAAATCTTCTACTTCATTTGATTTCTTCATTGAAAAGTTCATGCAGCCAAAAGCTCTTGGTAAAAAGTTTAAGAATCAAAGTCTCCACATTTCAAAAGAGGGACCCATTAATCAGGCACTTAATCTCATCATCCCTCCATCATCATTCACACCCACTTACCACCCTCTTTAAAGAGGCAGATGTCATCAGAACACTTTAAAGCTGTTATTTGCAAAAAGTAACGTTTGTTTATCACACAGATCCTGCACTTGTAGATTAGTAGATGAATGTAAACTTACAATAAAGTCTTGCACAGACATTTTATAGATTACTTTATAAGAAGTCACTCATGCCATCATCATAGGATCATACAGTGGCTCTGCTGCAGAGGTTGTTTGCCTGCCCATCACCTCAGTGAGCTGAGGCAACACTCCAGTGTAACACACACCTGGCTGGCTGTCGTCCAGGCGGGGATGAGACGGGCCGAGGAGCCGACTGGGTGTCAGTGCGGCTGAATGGAGGTGTTCTCCCGTGAACAGGAAGCCTCTGATTGTGGCTCTCCCAGCAGCCACCGACCGTGACGGAGGGGAGGGAGGGGGTGAGGGGGGTGAGAGACACAGAGAGAGAGAGAGGGAGAGAGAGACAGAGGCTGTTCATTCATCAAACACTGACATAGAAAAAGGGGGGGGGTCATTGTCACTGAGGTGTATGGAGCTGTATGAATGGACCCGAGCTTGGGTTACAGTGGTGGAGGAGGGGGGGGGAGTGTTTTTAGCCTGCAGGAGAATAATACTGACAGTCGTAGCTGCTGCACAGACGTAATCCTCAACTTAAATCCCTGCCACGCTCATAAAAAAAAAAGTTTTTCCTTTCCACATGCCATAATTCCTCAACCTTTTGAAGTAGAAAGGTCAACGTGCTATTGTGCTGCTTCCCTGTGTTCCTGGGACTTGCCAGAGGCTACGAAGGAGCTCATAACCAATATAATGTACAGGCTAAAGGGCTGGGCTGTAATCCACTATTATCATACATTATCCTCTAAATATCATGATCCAATAATGATGCTGTGTTACTGTGATTGTGCTGAAAAGGACATTGTAATTCAAATCTCTCAGATAACTAATCTCTAACATTAGAAATGGAACAATTAGTTGATCAAGAAAAATAAATTGGATTTTATGATCTATTATCATCTATTACCTAGTATTTTAATAATCAAATTATTGTTTTGATCAGTTTTTGAAACAAAAACAATATTCTCTTGTTTCAGCCTCTCAAATGTGAGGATGTGCTGCTTTTCTTTTTCATACATTAAAGTTGACTGAATATTTTTGGGTTTTCGACTGTTTACAGACATTTAAAGACGTTAGCTTGAACTGTGGGAAACCCTTTAACAAGCTTTTTTCACTATTTAACATTTTCTAGACAAAATGACTAATCAAGAAAATAATCTGCAAATTAATTGATGATGAAAATAATCTTCTTTCTCCCAATTCTCATTTTATCTCCCCACAGATCGAAGCCAAATCGGATGCAGAGAGCTGAGGTCCACAAAGTATATCTCTGATGGCCACTGCACCAGCATCAACCCCATCAAGGAGCTGGTGTGCACTGGCGAGTGTCTCCCAGCTCAGATGCTTCAAAACTGGATCGGCGGCGCCTACGGCAGGAAGCTCTGGGGTCGCCGGAGCAGCAACCAGGACTGGCGGTGCGTCAACGACAAGACCCGCACCCAGCGCATCCAGCTGCAGTGCCAGGACGGCAGCACGAGAACGTACAAAATCACCGTGGTCACCTCCTGCAAGTGCAAGAGGTACTCGAGGCAGCACAACGAATCGGGCAACAAGTTCGAGGAGCCGTCTCTGTCGCCGCCACAGCTCCTGCACAAGCACAAGTCCAAGAGCAAGAGGAGGCTGGGGAAGAACAGGCTGAGCGAGAACTGGCACGAGACTGAACCCTGAGAGCCCGGCAGGCACACGGACTCTGAATCCACATAAACCGACTGGAGATTTGTCTCGGTGATAAGTGAGACACGCCGTCCAGAGCTGTGGATTATCTCTCAATGTGACTGGGACTTGATTTTTAGGTGAAGCTGGTTCCTCACTGTGACGGAGAACTCCATAAGGGCATGCTTCGGACTTTTTCTTGACATTTGAATCCACGTGGTTGAAGACGGTGTGAACAGAAGTGGGGCGTACAGTCTGCAGAGCTTTCTGGAACCCCCCCCCCAGCAGCAAACCTACATTGTCCCAGATGCAGCCTGTGTTCCTATATTCATTTAATATGCAGATGGAGGTCTGCAGTCAACTGTTGAGGCACCAACACCAGAAAATAACACCAAACATCTCGAAAAATCCCGTGTAAATACTTGTACATATATCAAATTCTTACTTGCCTTTTTTTTTGACATATGGCCATGTGTATAAAATTTTACTATGTAAGATTTATGATGTATGATGTAATATATTTTCTGTGCAACATATAATATGATACGTTTTGCTTAAGTGGCGTCAGCATGTGGGCGAAATCTGGAAAAAGCTTTGTCATCAATCAGCCCTGTAATAACTTTATATGAAATAAATATCACATTTTATCACATGTATTGTTGTCAGCGGAGACTTTACCACACAGGACACTACAGTTTGGGATTAAAACTTTAATCAGGCCAACAAGAAGTTAGAAGTTTTTTAACACACTGTTATATAAACTAGTACACAAGTAAAGATGTTTTAAAAATCATGTTGGAATGAATTTGACTGCTTTCTAATTGAGAGGCTGGTAGTCTCGCGATACCTGCAACTATAATCTTGTTTCTGCACAGTGACCCTGAAATCACGCGAGAACGAAGAACTGTGAGGAGGAGTTGCAGCTGCCGATACTTTTCCCAAACATGCGTCAAGCAGCTACTTAAATTTAAACGGAAACGAAATAATTTCACCTTTAAAAATCAAAGTTGAACCAAAATGAATCTTAAATAGAACAGAACTGAGTGCACAATATATTCTCTTAATTTTTCTCCAGCCATAATTGTAAATTGTATGATCATTTTATGTTTCAGTGCATTTTTTTTGAGCAGAAAGACGATAACAGAAATATTACATTGTGCATTTTTACTACAATACAGTCCGAGGAACTGGTACTTTAAATAAGTATTTACATTTAAAGACACTTACACCTAATTTCAACATTATACATTATAGTGGCAAACACTGTATTATTCTGACAAAAAAGAAAATCATGAATCAAAGTCTACTCCACATCTCAGTGTCGAATACGGCTGCTTGATGGGTTATTTCTTATGTTTTTTAGGGCAAGCTCACTTTCTTTGCACATTAAAATGTGTATTAAAAATAATATATAAGGAACTCTTGAAATACAGTGCATCACCTGTACCACATAACATTACAATACAATACAATAAGATTACTTTTGATACATAACTAGACTAATTTATATTGCAATTACATTTATTAGAATCAGAATCAGAATCAGAATTTGTTTATTGCCAAGTAGGTTTTTATGCCTACGAGGAATGTGACCTGGTGCAGTTGGTGCATAAAAATATATACATATACAAATACAAATATACAAATATACAATTATTCAAATTCAAATCACACAGAAAAATAAAGTACTTTCAAAAAATAAATAGATAAAGATAAGAAGAGAAAGAGAAAGCTGTGCAGAAGAACGTGGGTGCATTAATGTAATGCATACTTTATATACAGGGTGGGTATAAGAGTTATTATGAAATTTACAGCGGGGGATTATTAGAGTGGAGTATTTTAACTGTGGCAATACTTTCTAAAATGTTTAAGCCAAGTACTTCAATCGTTTTTCACCACTAAAGAGCTAAGACAATTAACAACAGTACCCTACAATAGACTCATAGCTCATTCATGCACTTATAGTACTTCCAACCCCGGCTGGGGGTTTTATTTTGAAAGCGTTCACCGGAAGTCCGCCATCTAACTGTTGTAGCTTAACGGCTCTGTTTCCCAAATATCCATCCACGTTGCCGCTATCTTCCCACCCCGCCCATTAACTGGGAATGGGAAGTTTTGGGAATGACCTGCCGTGACCCCCCCCCTCCCCCATCCACCAACTGATGGACGTTAACCACATCAATATGCAGGGCGGTAATTGTGAACCGGACAGGCCCGCTCATCCCCGGATTTTCCCAACCTGCGAAGCCGGGAAGAGCGACCACCAGCCGGGGGAACGCAGCGTGGACTTCCCGGTGTCTGTGGTTCTTCCTGCCGGCGGCACCGGCGAAAGAACCGGACTACAGACACCGAAACAGTTCTGCTCGTTTCTGGGTCGGCCGCTCATAAGCTACACTATCCAAGCTTTCGAGAGGTAGGAAACAATTGAAACAGGATAAACTGTTTATGAACGTGTCCAGGTACAGGTAGACAGACAGGTACAGGTAGACAGACGTCTGGACTTCCTCTAACGGTGTGTGTCTGTGCAGGCTGCATGTGTGCACATCCAACTATTTACATTTTAATTACCAACTTTATACTTTTAATTTTTCCTCCACTGCTTTTCAGAAGGAAATATTGTTGAGACAAGTTTTCCAGTCACGGAAAACACCTGGAAATGTTTTAAAATGACCAAATATCCTGGAAATAATCTATGTTTTCCTAGAGTTTTTTTTTAAATTTTATTTCATCCTGTGCTGTGGCCAAATTAATGTTCCAGTTAGAAGAAAGCTGCAGTCAATAGACCTTTTTCACAGCAGCTGATTTTGACATGAAATAGTCGGGTAAACACAGGTGCATATTTAATTCACCCAGAAATGGGCCAGTTGCACCTGCACAGTATCCCTTAACTTGTGCTGCTTCTTGACATCAGGCAGTAACGATTCAGGCATTATTAAATCAGCTTTAACCGCAGAAGAGGTGCAGATTTATTATATATTTTTACTGACCGACGTACGAGTGAGAAACTACATGATTATGAATTTTGAGTGTATTCCTTATTTCTTTGCTCCAACTATCAATGATGTGCCAGTGCCGACTGAAAAATAAGTGGGTGTGCTCCAAATACCTGGAAATGGTTTTACTACACTAAATGGATCAGAGCCTTAATTAGCATCATCCTGGGTTTACCCGACTGTTTTAATGTCAACATGGCTGCTGTGAAAAAGGTCAACAGCCAACCACAAAAGCATCCTGTAATGTCAAGAAAAAAAGTCCTGGAATACATTTAAAAAAAAAAAAAAAAAAAAAGGCAGATAATTATATAAAGTAATTTAAATTAGCCCTACCTTTTGTTGAATGAAATTAAAGTGATGAATATATTAATTATAAATATTCTGAAATGGGCCAGTCTGCATTATGTACCTGTCTACTACTTGGTGTACCTCTAATGCACCTCGTAACTCTGATTTTGTAAGGTGAAAATCAACCTTACTTACCCACTTTCTCACATTTTGAATGCAGCTATTCTTCTTTAAAAAAAAAAAAAAACTCCCTTAGGATTTGAGTTGTTCTTCCACAACTGGAGGACAGACAGTGATATGGACTTCAGATTTCAGGCTCCAGACAGTGAAGAGAAGGTGGATGTTTACACTATGCTATGATCACCAGCCTGACCTTCATTACAACAATACACTAACAACCGGTGTTTATAATCAGATGTGTCTCCTCTTAGCTTGTTGTGAGTGTTTATGTGTTACTCAGGAAATGAGCGCAGCAACATCCTGGGGACTAGAGAGCATGGGGAGATGCTGCCTGTGTGGCCCCAGTGATTACAGAGGGGCTCCTAGTAAAGGTCCTCAGTGTCAGATCCACAATCCAAGCATGGTCACTCATAATTGGGATACATGGTCTTTATATGACTGCAGATGTATTGTCATATTGGCTTTTTTTGCTGGATATAAATATCAATAATCAAATCAAAACAAGGTTAGTTGATTATTTAACGTTAATTCGGATTGTTTGTTGATGACTACAATGTACTACAAGGAGTTTTTAAACCGGTTATGAAACTGTCTAATTGTAATACTCATTCCTCTATATGACCTAAACAAGACCTTCAGTGAGAAGATCGGTTGTTTCTGTATAGTTTTACTTAAAGTCTGCCACAGAGTCGGATTGAGTTCGATTCCTTTGGATGCAGTACCACGTTTGTCCACAGGGGGCAGAATCAACACAAAATGAAAGTTCCTTGTAGCTGCTTTAAGTAATTTATTAAACTTGTTCAACATTTTGGGAAATCCATTTCTTAGATTAGTGGATAGCACTCGTGTCTGCAGACTACAGTTAGCTTAGCTTAGCACAAAGACTGGAAGCGGGGGGAAACAGCCGGATTTTAAAACATTTTTGTTTTTTGTCTTTGGCTTTTGTTTTGTATCTGGATGATTTCCTTCTTTCCTTTAATTTATGTCTCTGTAAATTACCTTTTTTTTTGTTTTTAACCTGTTGGTCGGCCAATTCAAACAATACGAAGACGTGACTTTGGGCTCTGGGAACATTTAACAAGCATTTTTTTTCAACATCCTCCAGATTAAACAAGCCAACAATAATCAATTGATTAGTTACAGCCCTAATTCCTAAATGTGTTATGTTCTGCCAGTGTTCCCTGGTCTTTTCAACTTCTCACCTTACCAAAAAGACTTTGCTGAGTGGACGGTTTGTTCTCGCAGGGTGTCATGGATCCAGAGCATTGTGGTTGTTGTTGCCAAAGAAAACGTAGACCTGATGACGGACATCATCCAGCGCTTCCAGCACAGGAAGGTTCGAGTGGTACCAGGCGGCTCGACTCGTCACAGGTCGATATGTAACGGAGTCCTGGCTCTCGGTGAGGGGGAGGAGGCGGCGGCGGACAGACCAAAGGTGGTCATCATCCATGATGCCGTGCGGCCTTTCGTGGAGGAGGATTTTCTGTACAAGATAGCCAGGGCTGCCAAGGAACAAGGGGTCAGTATGATGTATTTTCTACCAAATACATGAGAGTTGAAAGTATTAGTATATTATTTTTCAAGCAAAAATGCCCCAAATTCTCTGATTCCAGCTCCTCAAATGTGCGGATTTCTTATACAGTGCTGCAGCTAACAATTATTGTCATTATCGATGAAACTGCCAGTTATTTTCTCAATTATTTGATTAATTGTCTGGTCTATAAACGATCAGAAAATGGTGAAAGAGTCCCAATTCAAATATCTTTGAGTTTTAGACTGTTAAACAAAACAAAATATTGAAGATGTCACTTTGAACTGTAAGTTTTTCACTGTTTTTGGATGTTTTATAGAGCAAACAATCGATTAATCAAGAAAATGATGTGCAGATTAATCGCTAATGAAAATAACTGTTCATTGCAGCCCTAGCTCATTGAAGTCCAGATTTCCCCCTTCACAAGTCATCACTGTGATGTTAAGCTGTCTCCAGGCTGGAAACCTTCTGAAGGACATAGAAATATTTTTCGCAACAACTAAAGCAGACAGGAGACGCACTCTGTCAGTGGAAATGGGGCCTTCGCTCGCTGCAGAAATTCAATTTGTAGGCGAATGGTCATACTGCCACAGGGAAACATTCAAAGCTCAGTAAATGTCGCAGCTTGGAAATGATTATAATTAAAGTTATCTCCAAAGCTGCCGTTTGTAAATATATGAATACGTGTAACCTCTGTGGACTGTGAGTTTTTCCAGTTGCACATAAAGGCAGGATGTGTCTATTTCCAAGACAGATCGTAATCCCTCTACAAATAGAGGAAACAACCCCAAAATGCCAGTAGTTCTTCATGCTTGGACAGCGCAGTGCGCAGTGCAGCTAATTAAATCTCGACTGTAGCTCATACTTCATCTCTTCATGTGATTTTAGCAGAAAACCAGAGAAGGTCAATTACAGCGCAGAGTGAAAACAAATCCATCATAGTTAGCCGCAGTTACAGCGGCTGGAATCAAACCGTTCACCTGGTGGGATGACAGGTTACCAAACGACCATCTGTGACTTTTTGTTTGTGCGCCTCGCTGTGGTTCATTTTTCATCGTGCAGTGTGAACACAAACAAAACCAAAATGTTAAAACGCAACAAAGTGGAGTTTTTCCACCCGAGTTCGGACCAAAGAAGACAAACAATTCTTGTGGTCACACCTTAAAGCTTTCCCCTCTGCACACGAGGCCTTTCCATCTTTTCACAAACTGTTTATCAGGTTGACGGATCTGTCGCTCCCGGTGGGGGAGTTTATTTCATCAGTGATCAATGGAAAACATTTGGGCTGAAGTCACGGCCGCTGTGACAAACACACTCCCAGATTGGTTTCATAATGATTCATGGCTGAGACTGAGCAGCTGAGAGAAGACTTTGTTGCATGCGGGTCACACAGGTTGTGAAAAACGCAAGAGCTCCCTGACAGAAGGCCAACATTTATGGTGTGTTTCTGAGTGTGTGTGTGTGGGTGTACTTTGTGATGAACTTTCACAGCAGGCGGTCTGGTCTTCATTATCTTGCCAGTATCCACGCTCATGGCAGAAAGCCTGTCTCCACTGAAAAGCAGCAGATTCATTTTGATTTTAACAGCATGTGTAACACGCAGAACACATGTTTGCTTTCCCTTCATTTGCTGGACGTTCCTCTCGTGCACGCTCGCCGACTGTTATACTCCTGGAAACTGCCTTCAATCATGCTATAAAGAGATGAAAATATTATCTCAGAAATGTTGATTATTTTGAAATTCCGAGGGAGGAGGAGGTACGAGCGGTGCGTGTTCCAGATGTGCTGGTTAGGATGGATTTATTGTTTCTTTGCAATATGGCTACAGTCTCAGTATGATCAGGGAAATATTCTCGCTTTGAAATGTGCAGTTATGGCTGAACAACTATCACAATAATTTGACAAAGGAAAAAAAACTCAATCAGCTTTTGCAGCTTTCAATAGCGTCTCATGATTCTAATGCTGCATTCACATGGATTCAGGTAGAGGGACAGCTAGGGATACACCCATACCGGTATCAAGTCCGATATCATTATCGTACTTGTACTTGTGATCATAAAAGTACTCCAATACCACCTTACAGCAGTGTGAGGTTAACCTCTCGTTAGGTGAGCAGGTGGAGGAGAAACAATGTCAGAATTTTTCAAGATATTTTAAGTAACTTATAGAACAATACCTTATTCGTTAGAGTGAACATCGGAATGAAGTTTAGCAGATAATTTTTTTTTTTTTTTTTTTTTTTTAAAAATTAATGTAATTTCTCTAAAAAACAGTGGTAACGTTGCACTCCTACAGAAAGCACAGGATAACCAACAAACAGTCCGACCAAACGGCAGGACGGCAAAACACCATGTGTTGCTATGGTGATGTCGTATTGTTTACAAATAATGTAATAAAATATAGTAAATCTAATAATTTTTCATAGCTTCTAGTTGTTCAGATTGGCCAGGTTTTTCTCCTTCCCCTTCAGGGAGCTACGCAGAGGACGGTGAAAAGTGGAAATATTTGAACTCTGAACTTGCCTTCTGTGGTTATTCCTCATTGTACATATGAGAGCTTTAAATTCAGGAGAAGACACCAGTTTATTCAGTCTTTTTGATGGCTTTTCCGAGTGAGGGGGAGCAGAGCATATAAAAGCTTTCTTCCCCAGTTCCGTCCGTACACTTGGAACAAAAGACCATATCATGTTCTGAACGATAACGGCAGCACCGCTGACGGCACAGATGTTGGTTGTTACAACAAACAGCAACTCTCTATGTGACTGACTGATTTCAGAGGTTACCAGGAACTTTCTCTGATTTGCCTCTAGAGGGTTTCCTTTCTGTTCTTCTCTCTGCACTGTCCATTATTGGTCATTTTCAAATTGATTCAATGCACTTTCCCCCTCATTGCATGCTGCTATGTGTGTGTGTTCACCCCTGTTTGTGTCTGCACTAGGATTTTAAACCTGTTCCACCTCTAAATGTCACTTTTTACAGCTGTAAAATGCAACGGAACTGCAGCATTCAGCACATTCGCTTCAGGAATTTCAGTTTGTGCCCAGCTAAAGTGTTTGGAAAATGTTATTCCTTGTTCAGGCATTTGACCTTTGTCCTATTGAGGATATTCCTGTCTAGACACTTTTACTCTTCTGTGAATTCTTACAAAATAATCTGCTTTTAAATCAAGCCGATACATGTTTTTATAAAATACATTCATGTTTTTTTTTTTTGCATCATTCACCAAACTCTGTAACAAACATACAAACAAAAATACTTTGTTTTACTTGATTTTTTATACTTTATACTACTTCATTAGACAGTTTTTCTAAAATTAGATTAGATTTTCAATTGCAGTATATATTGTCTTTCGTTCAGTATTGCAATATATCCCAATGTATTGAATTTAACGCCTTTATTGTCATACATATCATCTCGCCAGATTCTTGCCAATACACAGTTCTAGAAACAACTAAGATGGGTGCATTTTGATAACAGCGTTTTTGCATACAATATGCCTAAGGAATAATAGATAACTCTACTGTCATAGTTTGTTTGCTGTCAAACCTTTTCAAGAATGTTGTGAGGAAATAAAACTGTATTTGTTGTTAATCAAACCGTATCCGTATCGTTACACCTCAAGCACTAAAATGTCAATTGTACAAGGTACATCATGTCTTGCAGCAGATTTTAGACGACTTCCACTTTAGTTGGGGGTGATAATTTCTATCTGAAACGTTATTTCTAAACTTTATTATTGTAGTCAAAACAAATGCTAAAAGTTCTCTTTTTTTTTTTTTTTTTGTCACCCAGGCAGCGGGAGCTATCCGTCCTCTTGTTTCCACGGTGATAGCGACCACATCCGAGGGATACCTGGATCATTCTCTGGAGCGAGCCAAGTACAGAGCCAGCGAGATGCCTCAGGGATTCACATACGATGTCATCTATGAAGCCTATCAGAGGGTAGAGTCGATTCTTTAATTTACCTTTAACACATAAGTGGGCGTTCCTTCGTCGTGGATATGGTTGCGAGGGCGTTAATGAGAATGGCTTTGAAACAACAAGTGCGTACATAATGGTTTTGACCCCCTAGATACAAATAACGTCTGACATAGCAACAGGTGATATTCTGTGAGTTAATCAGTGAATGAGGTGTTGCATATTAATATTAATAATATTAAACTTAATAATACATTTGTGCTGCACTTTAAAAACAAAGTAACAAAATGCTTTTACATAGTTGAACCAGGATTAAAACCTTTAAGGACGGCAATGAGGCCAATTAAATAGAAAACCCCACAATAATATCGTATATAAAAAAATAGATAAGACATGTTGGAAATAATACATGCTAATAGTTTAGTACCTTTTTAAAGAGATACCTTTTGAGAAGTGATTAATGATTAATTGATGTCACTAATTCTGCAGCCTCAGATTTCCAGTTCCAGACCTTTACAGATAATCAGTAAAATTATCAATTCTAAAACTGGTAATCAAACCTGGAGGGATTCGATCTACGATGTATGTATGTTAAGTATTTGTTTAAAGCAGAGGTGCTGCATTTCTTAAAAGCTGAAGACACAAGATCTTTTTTTCTTTTGCTTTGGCTTACAATAATATAACCAAGATGATATAAAAGGAAAAAAAATGATGACCTTCTCGAGATCAGGTCGAGACACGATTTCTGAGATCCTCTTCAGTTGATGAAAACATGATTGAACAAATTTTGTAGTTTGTTTTTCAAAATGAAAGGTCACTGTCAAATATTACACCCAGGTTTTTGGCTGCAGGTTTGACATTTGTAGACGGGGAGCCAAGATGTTTTTGTGAAAGTGGGATAGAGGAGAAAAAAGAATGATTTCAGATTTATTTACTTTCATTCAGCTTGAGAAAAGTTCTGGGACATCAAGCACTTTATTTCGTACAGAGAAGCTCATAACTTTTTGCACGTCACACACATAACAATGGTACTGGATTTTGGGTTTATGTGTTGTATGTGACAGTGGCATCATGTATACACAGAGCAACATGGCAGGATTAAATAGAGAGTCAGTGTGAGTGAAATTTAACACAAAGTTTTAAACGTTTCCCTATATCTCTTTGTGATAACCTGTTCATTTAAGTGTCCCAGGTTTTGATTTAGGCTTGATCTCTCTCTCTCTCTCTCTCTCTCTCTCTCTCTCTCTCTCTCTCTCTCTCTCTCTCTCTATCTATCTATCTATATATATATCTATATATATATATATATATATTTTATATATATATATTTTATATATATATATTATTTTATTTTATTTTTTTTATTTTTTTTATTTTTTTTTCTTTCTTCCTACTCAGCTCAGATAAGCTTTTGCCCCTTTGTTAGCTAGTTGAACAGATATTTAAAGTTAGAAAATCTTAAATAAAAGTGACAGAGCTAAAAAAAAAAGGGGGGGCAAATGAGAGCAAAGAAACTGAAACTTTATTACTCTTATTTCATTGCCATTCATTTATTTACATACATTGCAAGAGTGTTGTTGTTGTAGTAGTAGTAGTATAAAACTGCCACCAGCTTACCAGATCATTCTGCGTAACTGAATCTGGGATGAATCCAGAGCACACGCAACCAAAAGTGTGATTTCTACAACTGCTACATTTGTGAAAAACAACTCACGATATCACAAGACAGAGAAATGAAGTCCTGCAGGCATGTGTTGCTTACTCCCGGTGATGAAAAATTGCATAAAAAAGGTCCCAAATCTTGTGAAATGACAGTTCAGGTTCAGATTTATGCTCTAAGAATTACACCACTTACATGACAAAGGTCTTTATGATTCTCATACATCATAACAGGCCTTTACAGTCCTTCATTGTTCAGCTGATGTGCCAGAACCTGCAGGCTTTCACTCTGAAGAGTTGTGGCGTGGGTGCTATCATTTTCACTTGGCCTCTGCTGCGTCTGGGAAAGAAATGACACATTAATGTATTCTGCCACACTGCAGCAGATTAGTCTGTGGAACAAAAGTGAACAAAGGCTCAGTTGGAAAAATGCTGAAAGAGCGCTGAAATTACATGGCACATTTAGGTGGATTCGGATTAATAGTCTCAGCAGTTGAGTGCGTTTTAATATGTGTACCTGAAAAATGGAAAGAATTTACCCGCTGACGTAAGCCGTAAATGTGTTGATTCTTCTCTGAAAGCAAGGGGCTTATTGCAAAGACTTGGCAGGCAAATCCAAGACAACTTAATGTGAAACCTGAGTTGCAGAAGTTGACCTTATTTATTTTTCAGACACTTTGAGTTTGCTGTTTCAACCTTGCCTCCATTAGATCTTCCGATAGCCACGTTTTTTTTGAAGGACGCAGTGAACTTTGAGCTAAGAGCTAAAGTATGCCTCCAATTGGAGCCCCATTTGTCTGCAGTTATTTTTACTCCTGGCACATATGGATCTTCGAATTGCTTTGAGGGCCCTGTTGGCTTTGGCGTTGGCCTTTTCAGAAAATGAGCTCACATTTGTGCCGCAGTGTCAAGGCCAGTAAAGTTGCAAAAATTAAGACAAACGTGGGAGGTCGCTGGAGAAGGAGAAGTTTGGGGTTGTTTGAGTGTGTCCCCCTTTCTCCGCCTGTTTTTCTCCCTCTCGTCAGCCTTTCAAAAGATAAGGAAAGTGTCAGGTTAGGACTGTAGGACATGTTCATGAAAAATTTCTGAGAGCTGCACATTTGTATCTTGACATCCATTGAGAGTAGAAGAACTTAGGGCTGAAAAGACAAAGGGGGAGACACTTTATCCAGTCCCCAAGTGAAAGCTTTTGTACGAGAAGAAAATGCTAAAGGTTAAATTACCGCAAGACCGAGAGCGTATTTCTGCTGTAATTTCTCTCTTCTGTTCCAGGGTCCTTGGAATAAAAGACCCCTCTCTTTTAGAACTTGATAAAATATTACCCAGGTATAATCTCAGGTAGCATGGATTTGTCTTTGTAGTCCGGACTGTATTTTAAACCAAATGAGCTCATCGCCTCAATCCAAACTTCCATGTGATCTACAGGGACGGAGCTTTCCCAGCTGTGAGTCAAAGTAAACAGTAACAAAAATCAAATGTTCTTTGGCACAATAAAGTATATGAGCTAATCTTAATTAAGATTAGTTCAGTAAGAGAAATGACAGTCACCAACAATGACATAAATACACACACAATGAAAGCTGGCCAACTTGTTTTTCATTGCTGGTTCCAACACAATGTCTAAGTTTTGGTAACGATTCTTTCAGTACCTTAGTTTAAAGCTGCTCTAATCAACATTCATGTGTTTTTTTTAGCTTGTTGCACTGCCCCCAATTGGCCAGAAAGGAATAAAAATGAATGAATTGTGAAAGATGTCACTTTATTGTGACTGACGCAGCCGCTATAAAAACGTTAAAGATATAATACGTTTCAGCTTGCTTCCTTGAAGAAGTAAAAAATTTGGTAAATTCAGCTTTAAGTACAATAGTCTTATTAGAATTAACAACATTATTCACATCAGGAACTCTCAGCAGATAGTAATACCACTACCATGCATACATTAGGGCTGAATCCTTGCCGCCACTGCCCTGGTTAGATTCTGGCCTGTGGTCATCCCCCCATTTCTCCCCTTTCCTGTCTCACTTGAGCTGTCCTGTCCAATGAAGGCAAGAAAGCCCCCAGAAAATATGAAAATGAAAACATTTGCCAGGTTTTGTTACTCGGTGCTGCAGATGCGTTTTGAACGGTATTCATAAAGTGTTGTGGTTTGATACACAGCCCTACACACAGCAAGACTCCACATTTAAAGGTTAAGTTTTTCATATTCATGAAAACAAAACCAATGAAACCCCAATTTAACTTTCATATGGAATATTGTACCAGCAAAAAAAGGTAAAACCGAGGTAGAAATTATTGTGTGAATTTTAACAACTGAAGTTGGGACAAGCACCTCCAGATTGGCCCTCACATGAAATGAATTCAGGCCTCATTAGCTCGACTTTTGATTTCTCTTTGCTCAGTAATTCCAAAGAAGTTTTTCCTACACAAAAAGATTCTTCATATCTTTGTAGTTATTGTTTTCTTTACAAAGTGAGATTCAGCTCATTACGGCAGACCAGCCTCGCTCCCCTTTCATAGCACGTGCAACCACCGTCACGTGTTTACAGATACATTACATTTATTTAAGCTATTTTTCAAAGCATTTCCTTCCAATGAAATATACTAAAACCACATGTTTTTTACCTACTAATGAGCCTTGGAGCTGTTACTTGAAAAACCAGGGAAAATAAAGTACTGGAACAAACAATGTCAGATCTCTGCTGCCTAAAAGGGGCAGTAAAGTAAAAGACCCTTTTATTAGATACTGCTTAAACATTTATGATAAAATGTGTTAAAGCACTCTACTGTATGTGTGGAAATTAGTCTTTTTTTCTTTCAGGGTCATCCAACATAAATAAATTCCTGTGGGTAACACTGTTGTTAAAGCGTTTAGATTTTGAGTGGGATACATGAAGATTTCAGAGGAAGTAGGGGAACACTACAGAATCCTGAAATAGATCCGATTATTCCACCCAGATGAAACATGAAGTAAACATGAAGCAACTGTATACCACCATCACAACCAGGATTTAGATTTTCCCTTTTCTCACGTATGCAGGCACTACCATTAGTGTAGCATCTGCCTATATATAAGAAAGCACATCAGATCTTGCAGAACAATGTGGGAAAATGTCTTATGGCCTGATACAACCAAAGTTCTTAATACAGATAGATAAGAGTGTTACAAGGCCAACGGTCCATCAGCCAAAGAAAACAGTATCCTCTGAAGTGTCTGCTGAAAAATGTGGTGACGGCAGCATCATGTTATGAGCCTGTTTCTCCTCTGTTGAAACACCAGCTCTGATCACGATACAGACATAAAGGCTTCAGATATTTTTGTGAAATATCTGCAGACAGTTCAAGTTAAAGAAGAATTTCATCTCTCAAAGAGACGGCCACATGTTGCACAAAACCAGATTATCTTAGGAATGCCTGGACGGAGGAAGAACCTTCTCGAACAAGTGGTAAATCAGACAACAAAGCAGGTCATATTGCAATTTGACTGAGCCTGAACTCTTCTGAAAGTAACAATGTGAGGCAATTCTTGAAATGCAGGTGTGCTAAGTAGACTGAGACCTTTCCAAGTATTCTTCATGCTGATACTGAAACAGAAGGTCTTACTGTGATATTTGTTTCTACCCTTTGGTGCGGAGAAAGATATCTCAACAACCACTGGCCAATTTTTCATGAAATTTGATCTCCAGAGGATGATTCCCTATGAATCTACTGACCCCCTGACCCGTCTTTGTTTGGCCAAAAATGACTCAACAATCCTCATTACAATGTGATATTGTTAATATTCACACAAGAAATGTAAATATGTTTTAAAATGAAATGTATGTAATGGACTATCCATCTTAATGACAGTAATATCTAGAAAATGTCCACGTGTGTGTACAATTTTGACATCTCTTCTTAAATTCACAGTGTAATGGAGATTATCACAACATCTGTCAATAAGTACATGTATGTAACAAGGCATCCAGTTGGTTGCAGCCTCTGATGCGTTTCCAGCACTGCAGAGGAACAACATAGCGTTCTTCTGTGATGGAAATATATTGTTGTCAACAATTGTCCACAGCCGCTTCTCTCTGTTGTGTCCCCTGTGCAGTGCAGTGAGTCAGACTTTGAGTTTGGCACCGAGTGTCTCCATCTGGCATTGCAGTACTGTGGCACCAATGCCAAGCTCATCCAGGGTCCGCCAACACTGTGGAAGGTGAGCTCGCCAGCGGCCTAGTTTGGGCTGTGGGTTGTGGATTTGGTGACATTTTGGCTAGCACAGCTGTATGCTCGCTGCTGATTTATCACATGGACACAAACAGAGCTCATGGATTGAAAGTGAGGGGTGCTGGCAATAGAAGAAGCACTAATATATTGAATGTGACATCCGGGATTAGCATGTTGTAATTAGTTTAAATGTAAATGTTCTGTGTTTAACCCTCTATCAGATCATGTAACCGTTTGCCTTAAACAGTTCGTTCACCCAATTTACAAAAATGTATATATATTTTTTGTTAGTGTTATCTAGCATTCAAGATCGTTTTGGTTTTATGTGCTGAGGTTTTGAGTTTTCTCTCTCTACCCCAATATAATGGAAGTGGACAGAATTGTGTTTGTGGTGGTTAAGGCATTGAAGAAGGATATTTAAATAACATTTGGAGAACAACTTGTCTTTCCAGAGACAATGCTCCGGTTACTCTGGATAATTCAGAGCGGTGTTTCCCAACCTCTGCTCGTGATACAAAGCCGTGACCCCAAATCAGAGGTGGGTTGTCACCGAGTTGTGAATTTTACCCCTCTTCCCTTTCTACCATATAGTTGTATCATCTACATCAGGAACTAAACGTCACCTTTGCACACAACCTGTATGAGTTTGCTGCTTCTTAAGAACCATAAACATTGGCCAAAGGAGTCTGATAATGGCTCAGAAAATAACGGCTGCATTTCAGACACAATTTTCATATACAGGAAAAAACAAGAACATGTTGCTCTTTTAGCGCTGCAAGCTCAGATTGTGTCTGGGCCGTGGGAAAGTCCTACCCCCAGATTGTGGACTTTTTTGGCACTCTAACTCAGTTTAGACCCTTCTGGTACCTCCTGTCGAACCTTGCAGTGGAATCATTTTATTAGATTTTCTTACATTTTATTTGAATATTTTTGTTTTTTTTAAGAAGCTCAAAGAGTCAAATATAATACGAAGCCAAGATTATAGAAATGTCCAAAAAATAAATAGCATTTTGTGTAGCACAGTTGATTTAGAGTAACTGGGACACGGTTTCTGGTAAGACACTTTACTGTTTTTAAATTTTGTTTGTCAATGCTTTGAGGAACCCAATGTAGAGGGATAGTGGGTTATTTTTCAGAGGCAGATATCTTAAAATCTTGGCAAATAAAACCAAAACTATCTGCATGGCCAGACACCTCTATAGATACAAATGTTTTTTTTCTTCTAATTTTTGGTGAACTGATCCTTTAAACCTCAAGTTATTTTGTCCTCCAGGTGACCTACAAAAGGGATTTGGCTGCTGCAGAGTCTATTATCAAAGGTGAGTTACCTTCTTTATACGATACATCATTCCCTATATGTACTGTGTATAGCAGACCTTTTCATCTATGTATTTTATATACACACATGAAGTATCCATGTGGACATGTGTACATGAAAGAGTGAAGGCAGTAGGTCTTCTGGGGCAGGTTGAATGGTCAGAAATGAGCAGTGTCAGAGTTTTTGTGTCTTTTTGTTGGCAGGTTAGAGTTAGAGTTGAATAGAATAAACCATAATCGCCTCTCACTGTTCTCAGAGGGAGAAATTCTTTGTAGCATTGTTCAGCTTGGTTGGAACAGGGCGTCTGTAAGCAGTCTGTGAATACTACGGAGAGCAAGTCAGGACAAGGGAGACTATCACAATCAGAGAAATGGAAATAAACACAGCCCTGTATTTCACCCCGCCAGCACCTGGACCAACAATTACCTGTTTGATGATGACATAAGGTGCACAGTGATTATTCCCAGAGCCTCTGATGTGAATGAATTCATTGTGTGTTTTTTAGAGAGGACGTGGAAGAAAGTTCTCACATCTGTCAGTATGAGAAACTGTCGAGAGTTTCAGTTTGTGTGTGTTTGTGTTTCTGTGTGCTCACACATACTTACATACACATCACGGTGTGTGTATTTGGGTGTGGGCGTACACGCCGCTGTATGTATCCTGTTTACAAGAGTGTGTTGATGATAAATTGATTTTTCAATAGATGGCTTTTAAATGAGGTAGCCGTTTTGGAGGTCCTCAGTTTTTTGCAGCGGTGACTGTGATGAGTTGATGTTGTTTGACAATGTATAAATTGGCCAGCTTAAGCTAACGTCATAGAAATGATTAACTTTTTGTACCCCTGGTTCTGGTTACCTTTACCTCTGAAGACACCCAAAACAGGTGTAGGTGAAATGACTCAAAGTAAGGCTGCACATGTTAATTAATTTAGATATTATTGCAATATGGCCAAGTGCAATATCCAAATCGCTGAAGCTGCATTTTTTTGATAAAGGTAAAATATGTGTCTAAAACTCATTATACTGAGGTACTGAGCTGTTGAGATGCCCTAGCCTACAAATCTTGTTCTCCAGATGTAAGAAAACATGTGTGATTGGTACAGACCCCAACAAATGTCACATCATCATGAGTTTAATCATTTTCAGTGAAAATTAAAAGTCTGATGCAAAAATGGACTTTCCCAGTAATCGTTAGTCATATCACAATCGTACTAACTGTCAAAATAATTGCAGTATGAGTCTTCTACCATATTGTGCAGCCCTAACTCAAATGCAGGCTAATGGTGTGCTCCATCCCTCTGTCATATGTTTTGATATTTATCACATATTTTGAAATATGAAGCTCCACAGTGACAACACTGGCGAGTGTTTATATGCTCCCATGGACCTCTTCTAATGATTTTCAACCAGTCACTCAGTCTCTCTCTTTCAGAGACTCTGTCGCAGTCGGCCTGCGCTGTCACAGGTGGATCCACACAAGCTGTGACGCTGGCTGATGCCCTCCAGAAGGCTGTTGGAGCTCTTGACATGGTAAGAGCGTGACGGTCACAGCTGATTTAAAATGTTGCTTGTGTTGATGACAGCAATGCTGAAGATCCCCATGAGTTTACGATTTTTATTTTCCCCATCCCTGTACCTCCAATCCCCCCGCAAACTCAATGTGAGCTCCACTTGGGTGGCCCGGTGGTGAGACTTGGCATCTGCGGTCAGACCTCTAATGGAGCCTGTCTGGGACATCCACTCTCTGCAACTTTCCTCCTCCTCATTTTCTCCCTCCATCCCCGACCTCCACCTCTCACTCCCCTGCATGCAGGAGAGCAGATGGCAGTCATATTTCCTGTACTGTGGGAGTTTGCTTGATTAATTGAGTGTTTAGTGATGAGTTCTTACCTCCTCCTCCTCCTCCTCCTCCTCATCCTCCTACCACCTCCACTCAGTCAGACTTGACAAGCTCCCAGTTTCCACCACAGTTCATATCCCTCCCTTTCACTCTTAATTTCTTTTTGGGCACATCAAATTCCCATGTTGCAAACATCCTCCGTTTAATTTGTAAAATTGTTCCTAATAGACAATGGGAAACAGTATCCATATGCAAAACAGTAAGTGAGTGACGGTTTCAGATATTCAATCAGACGGCCTAGACCACGCAGAGGTTCCACATGTGAAATGCTCTCCTTTACCTCAACAACTGTTGGGTTTCCCTTGAGCAAGCCACGTAACCACAAACTCAAGCAACCTTTCGTCTTTCTTTAAAAAATAAGGAAGAAGAATAGATGTCACAGAAATAAGCTTTGGTTCTGTCAGACAGAAGGGTTTTTGTGCAAAGCTGTGTTTAGTACAAGAAAGTGATGATCACCAGTTACTGAGAACTTATGATGGTCACAGTGTAACATTAGAGTATGTATAAGCTGTAAAATCAGTTTTGACAAATTAACCTTACAGTGAAGGTGTAAAGCTGCAATACGGTGTATTGTATCAGCTGGTAGGAAAGAGCTCATTCAGCCAAGGGAGTGGACAGGATATTATAAATACCTGTGCAGTCTTTTTTCAATTTAACAGCTCTGTTACAAATACTGCCTTTGTGTAGCTTATAATGTTTTTGTTTTGTTGAAGAAATTCTCTCCAGAAGATGTCAGTTTTGAGAATCAAATTTGAAAAGCTGGCTCAGTTTGTAGCCTGCTCTTTAGTGGAAGACAGCAGCTTTAGTCAGCTTGGTTCACTGCAGGTACAGCGGACTGCAGTGGAGTCACAACAAATAAACGTGTCAAAAATCCTTAGAAACTTCTCAAACCGCTGTTACAGCATAATTAACTTCTCCATTGTTGCATTTGTTTTGCACGCTTATAGTTTGTCCGTAGTATAGCTAAATACACAATGTCCTTGTCACGTCGTCGCCTGTCCATAACTCAGAAGGTTTTCAGGAAGTTGCATATTTAGTCATTTATTATCGAGGTGAGGACTGTCAGATACTGAGCATAAGGGTTAACCACAGAGGAGTGGATTAAGCTGAAAGAGTGGTATGAGAAGTTTTTATCAATGTTTTTTTTATGAATTTTTCTTCTGGCAAATTTTTCCCCAAGGCCTTTATTTTCACTAGGGACAGGGGACACAAATGGGTTTTCAAAAACATACCCACTTTTACAGTTTGAGCATTAACAGTTTCAGCTTGTTTCTCTGAAATTTATTTTCTCTCTCTAGGAGTTGATAAAAGATATTGACTCACTTATCTAGAACACCTTTAGTTATATTGTAAACTCACAGAAATTAAGCTTAATTAAGTAATAAGTATCTGTTTGACAATGACATAAATATATATACCGTAATTTCCGGATTATAAGCCCCTACTTTTTCCACACGCTTTGAACCCTGCGGCTTAAACAATGATGCGGCTAATCTATAGATTTTTACGGGCTAACTTCCTCCAGGGGACGCTCTAGCAGGAAGCGCAAGAGCGAGACAGACAGGTGGAAGAGATAATGCGCAGAGGAAGACGCTAGTTTGTTGTGTGTTTTGTGTTTTGAATTAATTCAGTTTGAATTCATTCACTTCATTCAGTCATTTTGCGCATAATGCACACACCCTCATCATGGAAAACAAAGAAATCCACATGATGCAGCTTTTAAGTTAAAGGCAATCGATCTGGCTGTCAAAGAAGAGCTGCTGCACGTAAGCTTGGCATCAATGAATCGATGGTGAGATGTGGGAGACGGCAGCATTTACTTAATTAAAAATTGAAAAAATCTTTCTGTGTACCATCTTTCTGTGTAAATATCTCATGTTGCAACGTCTTATAGGGTTATAGACAAGTACGGCCTATATATGTACAATTTTTTTTTTCTTTTTAAATTTAGTTGGTGCGGCTTATATTCAGGTGCGCTCAATAGTCCGGAAAAAAATTGCTTTCCCTTTTTTATTTTGTGGTTACAGAACCTCTGAATTGTGAAACCAAACCTGTACTCTTGACATAATCATGTGGGAATCAATGGGGAAACAAAGTGACATAATAATGATGTAAAGCTACCCTGTAAAACAACACCAAAGTCCTCAAAAGTGTGGACACAGTTGAATCAGCACCTCTCTGACACAGATTGTATAACATTATAAGCTTCACAAAAGGTTGCACGCCTTTTGTATTGGATCATGTGAGATTGTACAGTTATGGTTTTCATCCCTTTAATGTGCTTATATTTCATACCCATCACCTATAACTCTTCTCCAGAGCAGACACCCAGGCTGACAAATCGCCCACACATGGCTTCATGTACAGAAAACGTGTTTCCTGGATCATCTTGATGTGTATGTATATTCCCTGAGTGTAGGTGTTGACAGTGGAAGGGGGCGGCAGAGCACACCGCATTACGTGTTTCCATGTTTCACTGTGATCCGAACAGTCCATCCTCCTTTAAAGTCGCTCCAAGTCCTTCATCAGCCGGTGTCAGACGGGCGGAACTCGCTCTCCAGTGCTGGACCGGGCCCCAGAGACGGATTGGGGTCGGTATCACTCTTCTTGGATCGGCTGATTGGAGCCGTTCCCATCTGTGCTCAGGTGGCCGGTGGGGCTGTGTTTTTCCGGTGCGCGTGTTCGGAACCAGATACATCCTTTTCAGGGAGTTTGGGAGTGAGGAATAATGGAGGGGGAGATGAAAGGCGAGTGGAAGAAGCGGAAGATGAAGAATTACCATTGTCCCAGTGCCATTATGTGAATCTAATACAGGGATAAGCAAGGTTGGGCTGCTGAAGCGCCGCTGAAAACTGACAGTGTAGTGTGTGTGTGTGTGTGTGTGTGTGTGTGTGTGTGTGTGTGTGTGTGTGTGTGTGTGTGTGTGTGTGTGTGTGTGTGTGTGTGTGTGTGTGTGTGTGTGTGTGTGTGTGTGTGTGTGTGTGTGTGTTTATGTGCAGGTGGAGGATTTGTCAGCGTGTGTGCTGAGGAAGACACTCAGTAAGAATGTGATTAAGGGATTCCCTCAGCAGGATGTTATCTGAAAGATCTATTCAATGCAGTTTAAATCCAAGCTTACAGAGAAAAAGTAAAAATTGTCAGCTGATGTAAAATTTATACAAAAAGTAATCTCCTGAAAATGCATTTTAGGAGGATCTATTGGTAGTAATGGAATATAACAATCACAGGTATGTTATCACTAGTGTATAATCACCTGAAACATACAGCGTTTTTTGGCAAGTTTCGCAGCCACAGTAGTTTCTCTTTACAGGCTTGGAAGACGAGCTGTATTGATTTGGTTGCAATCTGCAACTTCACCACAAGATGCCACTAAATTTTACATGAGAGAAAACATGAAAAACATACAAGCAGTTTTAACAAAGAGAGTTCAGCAAAATGTTTTTCCATAGAACAAAATGTCATCATGTCATTTACGATTATATAAGTCAAATAGTTTTGTATCTTGTATCTCAGTTCACAAGAAGTTTTTGCAATCTCTGCTCCCCATGTGTCACTGCTGCTTAGTATCTGAGAACAAGAAATTCTTCTCTTAATGGATGTGAAAGTATAAATGGTTTGATAACTGAATCTTCTCTACTGCGTTATATTGTCAGTTCCGTAACCCTTCTATAGTTACAGTTACAGTTTAATTTCAGTGTCAGATGTCTAATTTATGATACAATTTCTAAGCATTACTGTGTTTATTGTGTCTCTTCAAACAATTGTCTAAATGTTTCATAAGAAAAAGTAAATGTGGAAGACAGATATTGCAAACGTAATGCTCAGATAAACCAATGTGTTTTGCAAAATACTAAATATCTATAGAACTGAAAAACTAAATTTCCTAGTAGTTCATCCATGCTGAACCAGTTTTTGCAGCTTGTCACTATCCTACTTTCTCCTTTTGTTACATAATTATGATCCATCTATTATTCAAACACTTGGCTTCAGTATATTTGGAACAAAGGCTAAACCCAGACGAGTACATGTTTTATGGGGACCCAAGTCCATAAATGATGAAAAAGTAGTTCTTAAAGAAGAAATAGGCCAAATCACCTCCTCTGTAGTCTCTCTCTCTTACCACTAATCCTTTTATCTTGATGTGTGATAATATTCTCATATCCAGCCCAGATCACAGATGGTCCTCAGACTCATGTATCAACTTAGTGAAGGTTTCTAATTATTAACCTCAACCTACAAGGAGGGTACCTGGTCATACCAGATCAAGTAAGGCTGTCTTTGCCAAAACCCCTGACTGTATTAAACTGAGCAAGTGTTAGTTTTATTGCTTACAGATTATACTGAACTTTTTATTTGCAAGATAATTAATGTACTACCTCTTCCTTTAAGAGTTAAATCAACACATTTTAAACTCACACTAATCTATATGTTTACCTGGTCAGAACAAAATACCCAAATATTAGGGCTTTAAGTATATGTTTATTGAGATTTTAATTGTTCGCGTTGTTTTAAATGAGTCCCATCCTCACTGAAAGAACAAAAGTTCTGTCTCATCCTTAACGCGTTGAAATTCATTTTTGCAGGTCGATCACTGTTTTGCTGAGCTCTGAAACTTTATTTTTCATGTGTCCTCGGAGTGGTTTGGTCGTCGAGCCTCTGTGGCTTCTTGGCTCTGCAGGCCATGCCTAAATTTAAATAAACATTCCTACTCTGGGATTTCATGCCCAACCTGGTTTAGATCACGTCAAACTTCTTAAACCCTGCAAATCTACATTTCGGACTGAAATGATTTTCCTCCTGAAGCCATGGGCAGTTATCTTTCAAGACCAATTAACCCTCCGACATATGTTTCCCATATCCATTTCACATTTCCAATTAGTTTCTGTTATTTTAATGGGTAGAACAACTTTATCTCAATGCCAAACTCAGACTCTAGATGTTTATTTCTGTGTTTATTTCCTGCGTGTGTGAAATTGTAGTACCAGGCTGTAATTAGAGGCACAACAACAACGATCAATGTAAAACGAACATGGTGGACACGGCGAGCTATCCGGTTGCCTCATGTCATTTGTATGCCAAGGCCGAAACTGAATGGAAAGATCAGGACCTGGTTCTATGAGCAAAAAAGCTTTTACGATTCTTGGCTGTAGTCAGCCTTTGACTCAATTTGCAGCGTAATGAAATTTAAGTTGGCTTGTGTCTGATCGCTGTCCCCGGCTTTTGCATATGACAGAATTTTCCTGCCAGTTCAGACGTATAAAGGAGCCCAGAAATGGTTTCTTTTTAAAATCTCTTCCATTTGTTCTAATAAGCTTCTGATTATAGTTGATGGAAATAAGCCACTCAGTTGCGTATTTAGATTTTTTTTTCCTTTTCTCTAATCATAAAATCACTCATGGCAGGAAAACAGGTGGTTTGTACTCTCACCCTAAATGATTGAAGAAGTGGCTGAAACAAAAACCAGAAGGCTCTTGACCTTTGAGCACTGAAGTCAGTCAGTCACTCAGATGCATTAGGACCCTGGTGCTGCAGCACTTGCTGTAAGCGTTATCACTCAGGATTTTGTAACAAGCAGAACTGAATATTTAACATCAGGGTATCTCTGTGTTGCAGGAGTTGGATGTCATCCCAGATCTGATGGGAGAAAACGCCAGGTATCTATTAAAGGAGTGGAACTTCATCCAGGTTTCTGTAAGTTCCCATTTTAGCTACGACTATGCTCAGAAATGAAACATGTCCCTGTAAATATTCATGATCTGTTCTGGCCAAGGGAGTGTGTAGATTTTAGATTAAGAGCTTGTAGCATGCTTCTTATCTTGCTGTTTATCATGGAGAAAAAAAATCATCTTTGCTCAAAAGTACTTATCTGCTTTTGGATTTCCTTGGTCTTCAGGTCAATCGTTCCTGCCTGTCTGAACTGGAGGCCTTGTTGACGGATTTGGAGGCAGCAAATCGGGCTCTTCTCCATCCGCTGGTCGTCATTTGGGTGAGTTCACGCATCGATTTTGCTTCAGTCATTTTACAAAAAAGCAGCTCTCTGAGGCAGTTAATGGCAATGCCAGTGCTAACATGCTGAAGTAATACAGGTATCATGATTAGCATACTATCATTTGCTAATTAACACTACACACAAAGTACAGCTGAGGCTGATGGGAGTTACATTAGTTTTGTTGTATGGCAGTCTGAGGTATTTTGAGCTGATGGAGGCACTAGAAGAACATGTAAGGGAAGTGAGTTCATCCTGAGGGGAACATGAATAGCAAAAGTGAACCCTGTGGTGGCGCTAGATAAAAAAATTGGGGTATCAAAGACAGGATTCCTCCTTTGGGGATCATGAATGTACAAAATATCATGGAATTCCATCCAGTAGGTTTTCAGTCTGGACCAAAGTGGTGGACTGACCGACAGACAGTTGTTGCCGTGCTAGACTGGCTCAAATGCCACCTGAGATTCCACGTGTCCAAATCTACCCTCAGACCCTTGTTTCCATTCCTTGCTGTCAGTGGACTGATGTTGTTGTTGTCTGAAGGACAGATTTGTAAACCACTGAAGAAGAATGAATGACTTTCAGGGGCTATCGTGTATCAACTGCACAGCAACGCTTACATGCAAAAGTTACAGGGAGAAAACAAATTTCTTGAATTTGTTAGAGGTGATTTTAACTTTTTAACTTGGATCAGTGGACCAATGCAAAAATGAAGCTTGGTAGGGAGGCCAACAGAACCTGGAGAGCCTGCTCTTGAGTCTGTGTTTTAACCAGAAAATCCCCCAACAACTTCTGTTTAATAAGTGCAAATGTTGCAGATATTACTCTATTAAACCACTGCCATGGTTTTTCTTGAGTATGCTGGCATTTCAATAAAGCTACAAGTCAGCACACAGCAGATTTCATTAGTACAGGATCAACTTGTGACGCCAGAACAAAAGCATCTTTTTATTCATTCTTTTTATGCTCATTACTTTTTATCCCTTACTTGCTCTTCTATGACTTTTTTTTTAAAGTTTATGGCTGTTTTGCTTCAGTATATCAGTGTAGTACACTGTAGTACATGGTACCTCCATGATGGTCTTACCTTTAAGGATGCACAGGAAGTGATATTTTCTATGTTAATGCAGCAGGAACAGTAGTTTCTTGGAAATACCGTAATAATTAGCCATCAGTATGAGCAATTGCTGCCATTTACAGACAAAGGCAAGAGGTGTCCCTACTGATAAAGTATGACCATACATGCTTTACATTTACCCCTTAATTTTATGCACTGAAAGACACTCAGGACCCTTCCTCCAGGCATATATACGTTCACTTTAACTCACTTCATAAAATATATTTTGGCATTAGTTACCCTGATAGATCTGATTGTATTTGGGTTAGCCAGTGTTCTGGCACAACAATTGCCACCAGTATTGGGAGGGTTAATCATCATGGATAACTTTCAACTCTAGGGGGATGCATATAAGCTAGTTGTAGGAGAATAAGTGTTTTTCACACACAATCCGTATTGGAAAAAACTAAATGTGATGTACAATGTGTAAAAAGTAGTTTAATGTGGAGTACCTCTTTAAGCTTGAATGTGCAATGGTATATGTAACTATATAAAGATAATTCAAGTGCTGAATGTTGTTTACTTTATGCTCTTTAGGCCACTGTTACATTAACAATTAAGATTAAGTGGCATTCAATTCATAATCATTAACAGATTTAATGCCAAGTACAAAGAACTCACATACAATCACATACAAGAAGTCAGTAAGTGTATAAAGTGCTACCGGAGGCTCGTGTGTTCTGGAAGTTAAACATGCCTCAGTATCATTTCCCACACTTTGAATGAACTTTTCTTTGCATGTTTTGTGAATACAGACATCTGGCACAGGACTGATTCAATTTCTTCGAGATGCATGTACTTTCTTTTTTACGCTTGTAAAAACGTCACCTGTAGTCCACCTCGGGAACCCCGATGGGCTCTGTAGCTGTTTAGAAACCCTACACCTCCCAGGAGAGCCCTTCAGCTCAGCCTTGCTTACTTCTCTCGGCTTCAAACACCAACGTCCTCGACTAACAGACTAACACTGACCTGAAAGAAAAACCTAAAACAAACTGATCAAATCAGAACAGATCAAATCTGCTCCAAGAAACATTTAAATATTTGCAAAAAAGCCCTGTTTACCCTCTTTTAATTTGGAAAATGTACCTCTTCAACTAACACGCGGAGCAAACACCAAAACAATGCCAGACAAGAAGAAAGAAATAAACTTACAAAGGGCCGACAAGTCTCAATCACTGCAGATGTCACGCAGCATTACTCCACCGAAGCCCCTTCTCTTGTTTGTGTGAGTTGTACTAAGTTTTCAATAAAGATTGGGAAAACACACACATGGATTCACACGTGTAAACACACAGTCTGAAGCTGGATTTTACAGGGATTGACTTGCTGCCACACCAGAACAAAAGCACGCCAGAGTTCCCACAACTTCCACTGTCAACATGTTTATATTCTACTCTATTCTATTCTATTTTGTTTTTTTTAATGTTTTTATTCTATTATATTCCACTCTGACTTCCAACTTTATTCTACTCTGTTAAATTCTAGTGTGTCCTATCCTACTCTGCTGTACTCTATTTAGTTTTATTTTTTTTTTTTTGTTTTGTTATTCTCTATTCTGCTTTATTGTTTTCTATTTCTACTACTTTCTATTCTTCTCTGTTTCAGTTTACTGTGGTCTTCTATGTTATACTCTACTTTAATTTAAGGTAAAACAAATCACAAGAGCAGAAATAATGTATTAATTGACTAGAAAATCAATCAACAGCCATTTTGATTGAATTGGAATTTTGATCAATCATTGAATTCATTGATCAAACAAAAATGTAAAAAAGCTGCTAATTCCAGATTCTCAAATGTGACGATTTGCTGTTTCTCTTTGTAAGCTGATTACTATTGATCCTGGACTTTGAATTTTTTAATCGCAAATGAAAATATTCCTTAGTTGCTGCCCTACACAATCCTACAACACATAATTTAAATGACATAAAACAAACATAAGCAAAGTGCATTTAAAAAAAGAAAGCAATCCATTACTCTAACGGATCATTTAAAGTTGAATTTTTCCTCCCTGTCTAACCTGATTTCATGGTCACGTTAGAATGTGTGTGAACTGGGAAGTTGTGACTATAAGAAACGTGAAGCAGCCGCTGAGTGTCACGGCTCTAAGTGATGAAGCTTAGTTCAGCACCAAAAGGTTTTTGTCTTACCTTTTTTTCCACAGGGGGCTGTTAGATTGCACACGTACCCTGTTATTTATTACAGGTCTGATCACATGGTAGTGATCAGTGGAGGGGTAATTGAGTTTGAAGTGTGGGTGGTTGCCTCCAGGGCAGAGAAGCAGACTGGTTGATGAAGGTCACTGTTTCAGAACGAGGTGATATGGCCTTGAGCAAGATATTCAAAGAAAGAATCTCATGTTATTGATATTACCAGCTGATGTCTTGTTAGGTGTCACACATCTGTGATGTCTACTGCAGTTGTTATCCTGTTTTTTATGAGAGAATCTTTGACAATCACCAGAAGCACATGTCTGGCTGCTTGTAAAAGTTCCTGTGTGGTACCTGTGTTAGTAACGTTAGCTAAGCTACAGTCTACAGAGTCGAGACGTTGGTTTTATAGGGAACTGTAGGGAAGCTCATAGAGAGGCTTGACATCTAAAAATGCCAGAACAAAACTCAAGCACCACATTTTGTATTGCTATTCTTTATGAGAATCCATCCCGACATAGTAATCAACGTCAAACGTGTACCTGTTTAGCCAATACATCTACGATAACCCTTCATTAATCAGTAAAAAAGAATGATATTGCTGAAATCATACATATACACCTTCAATTTGACCAAATACCTTTTTATTAAATTCTATTAATTCTATTTTTCTATTCTATATCTAATTCTATTCTATTAAATAAAAAACGACTTTGGACAAACATGGAAGTAAACTGCTAGTTGACTGGTTGATGGAGGCCTATAACCTGCAGTTCTAGTTTAATTCATGCTGCTGTCATTCTGCATGTGTTAGTTTGTATTTTGGATATTGTCAGCACAAATATAACTGTGGCATCAGTGTTTTAGTAGACTCATAGGAACCTCGAAGTGGCCTTGATGACAGCGAGCATATGATTGATATTAAAGTAGAAGTGTAATAATTGCATGTTTCGAGCAGATGTCTTGACACATTTGAAACGATTCTCCCGACTATAAGGATATATGACAAAATAATTGCAGTGAATAAATCTTGTGTTAAGTTTCTGTCAGTGAGACGGTTATGAAAATCAGCTAAGCTTTGGATATTCTTAAAGATGACACAGTAATGTGAACCAATGTGTCTGGATTATGCTGCTTTAATTGGAGAAAATAAACCCCAGAGACCGTAAAGATTTACAACTGAATAAGAGGATCATTATACCCTCAGACATGACTATGTATCAACCAATCTCTGTTTACTCTCAGCACGGCACAGCTCAAGTCTTCTCTGAACACAACCTTAAATAAACAGGGCTATAGAGTTGCAACATGTTTAAACGACTGCTTTAACAATGAGCTGTAATTGCTCCAAAAAAGGGGCATAATTGCTGTTCTGGTAAGAGATCCTCAGTATTGGCAGGGGTTTTCTGATTGGGCGCGGTGGGCTTTGTTTTGATAGGTGCATTTGAGCGCTTCAGATGAGCTGTCCATCAGTGAGAGAATGGCAGAGCCAGCAACTATCATGGACCTGGCCGCGGCAGCCAAGCTCCGTAATATTCTCCTCTACGGCATCCAGCTTCATCAATCAAAGGTAAGCTCTTTGTATTTCCCCATCTTCTCCATTCTTTTGTTTTATTTCTTCCTAAAGGGAGCTCAGAGTTCCTGTGCTGTGAATGCATTTTTAGGAGAGGCCAAACAAAACAGAATGGGAAATGTCTTTTAAGTGTCTTGTTCCAATGTCTTGTCATGCTTTTATGCTTCAGGCGAGGTTGCTGTCTTTTATCACATCTTTATGTGTGAGTTTGTGTGCACTCTTGGACAGGTATGTCTTTTTTATGTGCAAGAGGGGATAAATGCCAGTGTGATTGAGAGGGCAGGAAGTCAACTTTTTACCTTCCACCATGTTTGTTGTGCAGTATTGTTTCAACTGAATGCCAGAGGGATGAAAAGGATGCAGAGGAGCTTTAGGTCTAAAGCATTGTGCAGCTCAGCCACCGCACGTGTAAGCTGAACTTCCACGATTAAGCTGTGTGTCATGGGAATCCGCTGCGAGGCCCGCCAAGTGTGCACTGGAGTCATCAGGGTGGATGCGGTTGACCTGAAATCCATAACTGACTGCTCAGTAATTACAGGATTATATAAGGTAGAATTATTCATCCCGCACAGTGAGAAATGTCAGGATTCATGCTACCAAAGCCGTCAAGTCAAATCACAACTTTTGGGCCAGATGTGCAGGGCAAACCTAAGACAAATGTTGAATATTCATGGCATTGTTGGCCTTAAATATGACATCCATCATGATTTATGCTCACGACTGGCTGCAGCAGTGTGATAAATGAGGTTTCTTGGCAGCCGCATCACTTCACAAATCGTTCTTAAAAAAGCCTCTGTGCCTCAGGCGAATCGATGTTTGAGCAGGTCGGGGTTTATTCACTCCTGCAAAAGAAAACTTGAACGATGAGCTGAAGGAGGAGGCCCGGTCTTCTGTGGTCAGTGAATCGGCATCCTGCGTCGGCCCTTGACGTCACGGTAATTAAAACGAGATGCTTTGTATTCTTGATAGAGAATCATGCGATACGCTGCTGGCCCACATATGAGTTTGATTCAGCTATCGGATGTTGGACATCATGCTTTTCTCCTGAATTATGGAGACTAATGCTGTTAATTAGTCATCCTGCTTCAACTCCTCAGAGAGAACAGAGAAAAGGGGAAGGGAGTGGACGGAGATAAGCGTGTTTCTCCGTGATAAAATGCTTATCGTTATGAGATAGTGGAACAGCAGAATACAGCCGCATATAAATCACTGTTAGCTTTTTGTTATAATGAGGATAATTCTTCCCAGATGGCCATGTTCATATTTGTCGAGATCCCTGCCAACACTTCCTCTGTCAGCTGTACAGTATATATGAATATTGCTCACAAATTCAGCATTTGTTTTATTTCTTTGGCTTCAATAAAAAAAGATCTGAGAGCAGGCAATAATGTACACATAGTGAACATTTTCAGGCAATCAGTCTGATTAGTAAAAGACGCATTTAATCTGCGGTGGCTTGTTGTACATTAAAATGCAGTTTTTCTTGTATTTTGTATGTGTCCTCAGAGTTTGTTGCCTTAATTAAAACATGAAAAACTTCCCTATGAACACCATAAACATCTGAGATGGTACTGTGATTATATGAGCCATTAGATAACTTTGTTGCTGTAAAATTCTGTATTTTCAACATCCAGAAAAATCACATGAAGGCTGGCATGTTGTGTCTTCACTACAACAAAACAGCCTGGATTACATTTTCTGTTCCATGCAAAGAAAGGTCAAGTTTCCCTGTGTGGAAGTCTCAAAAAATATTTAGAAGAGAAGCACAATTAAAACATTTAGCTGTGCTGCTGTACACAGTTTTAAACACACATTCTTCCTGTTACATTTGACAGTTCACTTTGTATCAACAAACATTCACTCAATTAATATTAATCAGATGTTCTCACCAATATGTAGCGTTGAGCTATTTTGATTAAAAGAAAACAAAGAAAAGTTTATCGATGTGTGTGTTGAATCAAATTTTTATTTATTTCTGTGTGTGTGTGTGTGTGTGTGTGCATACCATCTTCTGCACCACTGAGAGTGAAATAAAGAAATCCCCAATTCAATCTGTGACTACATTTAGTACAAAGAGGCACAATGGTCCACATCAACATAATGGTCTGCTTTCTGGCATTTGGAGCAAGCTTATGCGCTGCCTCCTAAAAGTCGATGATTCAAGTTGAACCACATTTTGTCGGTCAAATCACTTTTTGTTTTCATTGTACACAGAGGCAATGCAGGAGCAACAGCATAGCAGGATGTAAACTTTACAAAACTAACTGTGATGGAAGTAGAGAAGGGTGATGAAAACCTAGAGCAGTGCGAGGCAGAGCAACGCGACTCGTATCTGTTGGCTGCTCGACACCCTTAGCTCCAGTGAAGACAGTCAGTGAAGTCGTGTGTGTGATTCTTCAGCTGACATTGCTGTCAGCAGCCAGGAAGCACGGACGCTCCGTGATGTGCTAGGATTTTAGCACTAATGAGGACACCGATTTTACTTTCTCTGACTGTGTGAAAATCTGATGTGTTACAAAGGTATTGAAACTAATGTAGGTTGATACAGGAGTTTAGTGTGGGCTGAACTGACACTGACCAGATAGGGCAGTCATTCATTTGTGTAGGTAAGACATGTCGCAGAAAAGACGTCATAAATAATTTATAACAACAAAAAATATCTCCCCATGAGAAAAAGCATGAACCAATGAGCCACAAGCACATGGTGAATCAATAAAAAAAACCTGTACCTTCTTGGGGAATGTGCCAGTTTAATCTGAATTACTGTTTTTTAATGGATTTTAATGGATTAATTAATTGTTTAATGCTAGATTATCCACATGTAGCAATCAAAGTATGCATTTTTGGTTTTGCTTATTTGTGTCCCTGCCAAGTGTCAGAGGACAAGGTCGATACCACTCTCATGTCTATGCATTAAGTATGAAGCTGGAGCCTGGAGGGATTAGCATAACTTAGCATACAGACTGGAAACAGGGCAAAATAGCAATCCTGGCTCAAAGTTAAAAGTTAAAAATATGTACCTACCAACACCTCTTTTTAATTAACAGAGTGTATCTCATTTATTTAATCCATACACAAACAAAAGTCGTGGTTTTGCGGGTTATGTGCCTTAACTAATCTGAGCTAAGCTAATTGACTCCACCTCCATACTTAAAGATGCAATATATGACAATCAGAACCACTAATTGTGGCACTAGAGTACCAGCTCTAACCAAATGAACGCGTCTGCAACACCTGTCCTTTCCCTTCGTGTCCCCCCACCACCCTCCATTCACCTCCCTCGTTAAATATCAGGCAGCCATTGTAGAAAAACTGAACTGGGTAAATATTATGAGAAATGTGCTCAGTTTTAACCTGGCATCAAAAGCCTTGTGTCAAAGAGTGTCTCATGAAAGCTAAGAATAATATTTGTGCAGTCGGTGAAGGCAAGTTTTCTGGATTTAAAGTTCAGAATGCCATTTACAGAGACATGCTGCCAGTATACAATAGTTGAATCTTATAGTCAGAGCTGCATGTCACTGGAAATATTTAAAATCCTGTCAACATGAATAAAAAATGTGCACGTATCCTAAACATATCTTCTTCCTGTACCTCTTTATGTATTTTAGGCAAGAGTTTAAATGTGATTTGATTCTTGAATGCGACTCGTCTGTAGTTGTTAGCAGTTCTTATAAACTAGATGAAAACTCAAGTTTTAATGATAAGTTTTGACCTGTTCAGGTGCCCTCGATTTGCCATGGACAGTAAAACGAGGTGTGACATCAGTAACTTGTGTAATTTTTCCAAAGTTCTATACAAAACCTTGTTAAAGATAATCCACCATAAACTCTGAGTCCCCTTTTGTTCCTCCCTAAATGATTTCATTCTCTGCTCTGACATGACTGGTTGTTGTCAACTGCACACCAGTGAGAAGAACAACCGTGGAGAACATTTAAGTGTCCCTTGTTTCTCATTATGTATCACTCTGAGGAATTATTGGACGCACCCACCTCTTTGGAAAAGTACGGCCATTTGGCTAATTGAATTTTAACCTTTGACAGTTAAAATGCATGAGCACATGGAATTGTGTTCGTCCCAGAGAGGTTGGGAAAAGGATCCACCTCATTGACCTTTAGGGATGTCTTGTTGGATAAAAAGTGGATTTTCTCAAATGAGGCCTGACTATGGTTTCACATTATTCAGAGTAATACCCAACCACCGAGGCACAATGCATCCAGCAGCGTGTCGCCATGTGTGCCACTTCACTTCGTCGAGGGGAGAGAGTGAAATGGAGTCACGGACAATGAACAGCAGTCTCTTTGAAAGGACATGTGATCAAAGCACTTCTCTAGAGTCTTTTTCCGTTTGTGTTGTTACCCCTCTGAAGATGCCCACAAGCCAAACATCAGGTGCGATAATGTGTGAAAACCTCAAACTGATCCAAAGATGTTGGCTGAGAATATGCAGACACCGGATCCTCATAAACTGACACGATGTTGTGAAAACGGTGACGGTATATGCTATCAGTGTCTGCAGTGGCAATAGGAAGTGTCATTGGATCCCTCCTCGCACAGGGTCCTGGCGACTTGTCATCCGCTGAAAAGGGAGTTGTCACGGTGATATATGGGTGTTGTAATCCCTGCAGTGAGAGCCCTGATGTTTACCCAACCCCATATTTCCTCCTCCTCAAAGAGCCCGGACCGGGAATCCTAAACCTGAGAAGAGATTAGCCGGCCGGGAAGAAAAGAGAGGGAGAGAAAGGAGAAGAGGGAGGGGAGGGAGGAAGAAAAGGAGAGGACTCTAAAGGTCTATTCTCCTCTACCTGTTCAGATCTAGGTCTGAAAGGCAGACAGGTGAAACCGTACACGACCCAGCGAAGCTCTTGCTTTGACACTCGTGGAGTTGTACCCTCGCCAGGGTCAAGGAAGATCATGAAACTGTTGTCTCTGTGGTTTCAGCACACTCACTACTTTTCTCAGGCTAAATCCAACAGTTGTCCTCTGCTAGAGTTGAGAGGC